AATGGTTGATGTGTAAACATATAAAAAAGAAATGTGGTCAAAAGATAAAGCTTTCAGGTCAATATCTAGTTCTTGTACCAAAACACACCTACATATTCATAATTTATATAATTTATCCTAATTAATGGTGGGAGGGATATTATACACATTACTGAATATATATATATATTTTGCAACTTTGAGAGCTATAATTCTAAATACTGATACATTACATAATATATCCAGTAATGTGTATAATATCCCTCCCACCATTAATTAGGATAAAGAAATTATATAAATTATGAACATGTAGGTGTGTTTTGGTACAAGAACTAGATATTGACCTGAAAGCTTTATCTTTTGACCACATTTCTTTTTTATATGTTTACACATCAACCATTGACAGGTAGGCTATACGGTCCAATTCATTTAACCTCTTGACCAACTAACTTTATATGACCATGCATCTCTGTCCTTTGTATAGCATGACATATATGGACACTTATATAAAATCTATTTTTAGAAATGCATATATATATATATATATATATATATATATATATATATATATAATTGTTATTCAAAAATTTAAAACTTATATTAGGTATTAGTAGTAGGGTAAAATTCGTACGAACACAGATACAGTGAATTTATGAATATTGCAAAGATTTTTTTTGATCCCTGCATGGTCAAATTCTTAATAATTCCTTGCAAAATTTTTTGGTAAAAACAAACTTTGATTTCAGGATTTTATAGATAGAGTATAGCAAACTTATTTTGTGTCTCTTAGAGGTTAAAAATAATGAATCAAATTAAATAATGGTTTATAACATATTTTTTAAGATCTTAGAATTTAAAATATGACAATCTTCTTCATAATTATTAATGTTTGAAGTTTTATTACATCAGAAAACTTAAGAACGTACTCTGAGGTAAATTTTGTATTATTATAAATGCTAATTTCCTGAAATATGGTATCGATATTGGATACAAAGATATTAACTGTAATTATATACTGCAAATGATATGCAAAAATTTCAAATAAGCTAATTGGGGTTGGAGTAAAAGAAATGATATCTTTTAGATTTTGTCTGAAACCATGTTATATGAAAATGATAGTAATACATAGATGATTAAGTATCCTTGGCCTTGCTGGCTTGAAGTTCTATTGCTAATGTATTATGCACCCAGACTAGTCCACAATCAACAACATGTTTATCTTACTAATTATTTGTTTAATTAAATCATATTTATCCTGCTTATATAGCTCACGTTTTTCACAAACAATACCTATACAGACTGTACATTAAATTATTATAGTAATTCACACAAATATCCCCCTAACCAATAAAACATGATGTCTCTGTGCATCTATCCACCTAACCTTTACTGATGAGGAAGTAATTCCAACTGATTCCTGAATATTGTAGAATACTCATTTTGATTTATCTACATTTATGTGCCATAGCATGTATATTCACTATATATACAAGTACTCTAACAGATTTGTTATATGGGAGTTAATGTCTAAAAATATTTCCAAAGAGTATTTATTAGTAGATTTTTGATCAAAAATCTATGTAAGAAATTACCATTGAAATTTATAGCATGTATGAAGTATTGTGGATTTCTGAAGATTAATGCCATTTTTTTTTATAATGAACTAAAAAGATGAAAAAATGATGGTTTGCTTTTCTTGTGTGAAGATGCTACAGTTAAAGCTTATAATTAAAAGTATCTAAATACAATGATTTTGGAACCCTCAAAGTACCATATTCTTCTCGACCTTTGGACTTGGTGAATATTGTACTCTTCCTATCGCTAAAATCAATTTATTGACCTCAAAGACAAGAATAATTGGATAATATTGCAAATATGATATGCAAAATTTTCAAATAAGCTCATTGGGATTAGATTTCAAAAAATGAACTTTTAGATTTTGTCTGCAACCATGTATTAATACAAATGTGAGAGTACTAGTACCTGGTAATACGTAGATCATAAAGTGTGCTTGGCCTTGCTTTAACTTGAAGTTCTATTACAAATGTATTACCCACCCAGACTAGTTTATTATCAACAACATGTTTATCTTACTAATTATTTGTTTAAGTAAATCATATTTATCCTGCTTATATAGCTCACGTTTTTCACAAATAATACCTACAGACTGTACATTAAATTATCATAGTAATTCACACAAGTCTCTCCCTGTAATCAATAAAACATGATTTCTTTGTGCATTTTCCACTTAACCTGTACTGATGAGGAAGCAATTCCAATTGATTCCTGAATATTGTAGAATACTCATTTTGATTTATCTACATTTATGTTCCATGTTTAGATGATTTGAAATAAGAGAGCTTTAAGCTTTTCTTTGAAAGTAGGACTCCTCCCAGACAGACAGACAGACAGAAGACAAAATGATTCCATGTTTTTTAGCTGTGCTTCCTAAGTAAAAATAAAAATAGCAAAGCTAATATAAATCTTTCATTAATAAATATTAACTACAGGTATGTTTTCATTACAATGTGTGATATTTTCATTGTATTTATTATGGATACTTAAAAGTTATCAGCTGTTAGGAAAATTTAAATTATAGTAATCCAAATGTGGTCTGCAGTATCTGCATTACTGCAGGTAGGATCAGAATAAAGTGTCATCCTTTCTCTTTTCAAATTCAGATAAAATTGCATGATTCAAATGCAGCCATAGACCTTGACTGGTCCTATTACCAGTAAGACACAGGTTAAAGTTTGGGGGAAATTTTACCTTTGATTTCATTGCAAAGGATTCTCATAGTCAAGTATGAACTAGAATTTGGAGAAGAACAATTTTTTTACCTATTTCCTTATCCAAATTAATTCAGAAAGCTTTGTGGCTCTCAAACTATCGGTCAACAGCTGGTAAAAGGACATTGTTTTCAGACTGACCTAGATTTGGACTTAAGTTTGTCTTTCAAACTTTGAAAAAAACATGATAAAGTGAGTGGCTATTGTCCTGAAATTGACCTATATTGCAAATTTTTTGTTAGTTTTTCAAACTTAAATACCCAAATTGTGGAAGTCACAAGATATTTGGAATGACCTTGGAGGTAGGAATGCATGTATCATATAATGTATATAGCCTTGGTTGTCTCTAGAAAATTTAAAGAGTCACAAGATTTACACATTCAAAAACTGTATAAGATGAACCAGGACCAGAACAACATTCACATTTTTTCCTTTTCTCTCAAACAAAACACACATGCCTGTAAATGTGACTTTTGTTATGTTGAGAAAGTCATGAGATTATACAATCCTCCTGTAGGTTAGTTACCCTACCAAGACAACAGAACAACATTAAAGGTGGGATAGGAGATTTGGATTCACTGGAAATTTATCAAAAAAAAAGATGTGTTGAGAGACTCAGACTTGAGTATCTCATTGCTGCATGAGTAAGCAGTTTGTAGTTATATCCGATATTGTCAGATATTAACCAGGAACATTCTTAGCAAACCATGTTCCTGAAGTTAACATTCTTAGCAAACCATGTTCCTAAAGTTAACACGTTGGTTCAAGTTTTTACATCTCCTTCCCCTCCATAAGTAAATATCACCAGTGGAATAACTAGCGATGATGTGGCTTACAGTACATGGTGTAATGTATTTGGAAAAGTACACAGATTACCTGATAAAAATATACAGTAAAACCTCATTTTATCAAATTTGAAGGGACTCGGAGAGAAAAAAAACTTTGAGATATTGAGATTAATGTACATAAAGAAAAAGTGATGATGGGACTTCAAAATCACTTTGACATATCCATGGTATTCGAGATATCAGTGTTTGAGATACCAAAGTTCAATTGTATTTACATTTTAGTTTGATTCAAAACATAAAAAAATTTCTGAAAATATACTTGAGGTCATTATCCAGTATTGAGTGATGTCAGCTGATCCTTAGTGCAGTATATATGAAGACACTCCTGATGCCTCTCCTAATCTTCTTGTTTTCTTTCACCAAATAAACATGTCTCATGTTTTAAATTAGCAATGATTTCTCATTTTTATAAAATTCTGGAAAATAACATATTTTGTCAATTACTAGCTAATGCCGAGCCTATCATGAAGTTGCACTTGAGGCCTATACAAAATATTCTGCTTATCACATGTCATGTCCACATCCTGGTCAAAACAAACCAAACTTACTGTGACACAAAGTATAGAATGCATGGCTGACTCAATTTTCATGTCGCAGTTTATTAAATGTTGGTTTTAGTCATTTGCATTGACCATTTTATATAAAATGATATAGACTACAGACTAGAGAGTTTTATAAAAAGAGAGTTTAATCAAACTCAGTCTTGAATTTTAAAGTGAAGAAGCTCACTTAATACTGTATCCAAAAAGTAATTATTTGTCACCTTACAGACCCCCACCCCCTCTTCCACCCCAACCACTTTTTTCCAAAAGGCAGACTGAATGCCACTCTGATAATGCACAGCCTCAGTGCCTCAGACACAGCTACATGAGGCACAGAGTAAAACAAGTACAAAACAAGCTCAATGCAGAAACATATATTCTGTTCTTATTACTCTTTGAAAGGGGAAAGGGGGGTATTAACTTTAAACAGTTAATTGGCAATTTTAAGTGGGTCGATTGTTCCCTTTTTGTGAAAGTTTGACTCTATTGTTTCTGGTGAGCCTTATGGCCCACATGCATTTATTTTCTAAGATATTTTCCTAACAAACTTTGATGGGCCAAATCAACTTGTATACATTTAAGAGAAATCCAATGGTTTTTCCAGCATAGTAATAATTATGATGAATATTGCACTAAGTGTATATATTCTTTCATTTAAACATCTTTCTATAATGATTGATAGCTTGAGGCAATATTTTTATTGGTGGATATCTTTTTATGAAATTTTCACTATCAGATTAGAAAGTGGTGATAGTCTCATGACTTGTCATTTACAAATTCATTCAAGGGAAACAACTCTGTATTTTCTAAATTTTCTCTGTTTACTAAATTTTTGACCTTGCATCACTGCAATTTTGTAATGGGGCTGTGAAGGCTATATAAGTGAAGGGACAACCCATCTCCTGATAGTTAGATCTTGTGGTCTCTGGGGACATTGCTTCAACACTAAGTGTATGGAATAAGATTTTCCGTGTTATAAGAGCAGCATGTTCACTTTGAGGTAACTATTTCTGCCCCCAGTACTCTCTCTTTTATAATTTAGAAGTGATGTCTTTTATTTTTTTTCTTTTAAATTATCTTTAATTATTAGAAATTAAAATGAATATATTTTTTATGGGTTATTTGTGAGGAAAATGAAATTAGTTTAGTTGTATTTTGGTAACATTTGAAAAAAGTTAATTTGTTAAAGTTTTAGAAGTTTTAATTGACTTTGAATAATGAGCTGATTTTTTAAAAATATCATTTTTTTTTTTTTTACCAAAAATGATTTCAGATCATGAAGACATGGTGATTTTAACTCATTCATTTTCTTTTTGTTTCGAAAATTTAATAGTTATCTCTAAAATGATAAACATATCTTTTCAAATAGAAATAAATGAAACAGGCAATATGATTTATAAGAAAGTAAAAATTAATGTCCTGTTGACCTAACATGAAAAATCTGCCAGAAGTAATGAAAAATTGACAAGGTTTGATATATCACTGTGGTGTTAATATCCATTATATACATTCATTTTCAACGTGATAAGAAAGTATTAAAGGCAGATGGGTTGTCATGGTCTCTGCTGGCCTTGATCAAAAATCACAAGACCTGAGTCACAAAAATACATGTACAAATGCCTTGTCACGTGTTCAGTTTGTTCCATGTTTTACACAATTACAATCTTGTATTACCTGTTGTAAGAAGAACGTACAGGATATAATTCTTGGTGTAGATTCAACACATTTAAGGTTGTTTTAAGACTTGTAAGTAAATTTTGTCAAGCAAAAAAAAGTTGTTTCTGTGAATGAGATGTTTTATTATTTAAAAAGAAATTCCCTGAATATCTGTTTTATAAATATAGATATTGGAAATTCAAATACTTTGCATATATTTCAGTTGATTCATGTGCTTAAAAATGCATCTGTAGGCATCTTTTTTTATGCTCTACTAAACATTTTTATGTAATAAATCGTATTCAGTTTAGTTTCCATGTACTTGTAGAAGCACAATGTCCACTGCCTTGAGATGTCCCTTTCTGTCCCGAATTCCGGTCAACCAGGTCAGAAAGACGGCCAATCAGTTGATGACCTATGCAGAGAGATGTCCAGTAATGGTACATGCCATGAACTACATGTCCACTCCAGACATGATGACGGTGACAGGTAAATAAAACAGTCCTCGTACAAAAACATAAAATAAAACACCTTAGTCCTCAATACAAAAACAAAGGAGAGTCTAAAAATAAAACACTGTAGTCCTCAAAGGAGAGTCTTAAGTAATTGATGCATGTATATTACAGGATTCATGATAAGATTGTGATTAGTCAAAAATTAATGAGGGTCAAAACATGCACTGTATATAAGAAAAGTTCTACAGTAAACAAACTCAATTAACAGATGATCTTTGTATCCTGCCTACATGAATGGAAATTTCTGTATTTCATGACAATTAGTTTCGAAAAATTGATGGTCGTCAGGTATATCCTGGTATGAAACATGTGGAAATTCCGCTCTTATAGAAAATATCAAAATACATTGGGAAAAAAATTGATAATTTGTGAATTTTTAGTAATCCTTAAATTCCGTCTACACATATTGCTTGTAAATATACAAGATATCAATCAAAGTCACTTCACATGACTAACTGTCAAGAATACAAGTACTTACAGTAAAAAGGGAAAATCTCACTTAAAGTACTAATATTTCACATTTGATAAACTAAGCAGAAACATTAATTCAGATGTAAAGATTTAACATTGAAATCAATCTGATTGAGAGGGGTGTTTAGCTCACATCAACAAAGTCAAGATGAGTGTACTGCGCTACACAGCACATTCTAGTGTAAGTTTTTTGAGCCAAGTAACTATATGAAGCATTGCCTGAATCAAACTTGCTGGATGATGCATCTAGGGATGCACACCACTAGGCTTCCTACAGATGCTTAATCTGACCTGAATAAGAGACTAGGTTAAAGTTTTTGGAACTGGTCTATTCCCAAATAACTTTAAGCCATAATTGTGACTTAACTTGCATGGATGATGCATTTACAGATGCAAACTACTGGAACATTTTCATTTTAGTGTTTGCCTTACTTGTACAAAACATTCATCGAGGTGAGATTCATTATCTTTGATTATTTCATTATTTTTGTATGTAAACATTATTTGTACACTTATGTGTGGAGCATTTCTTATGACTCCCATGGATCTAAGAAGGATTACATGTATCTTTTTCAGATGAGCCCTTGGAGAAGCAGTGTCCATTCTTTGCTAAGGAAGGGCTGGCCATTAAGGATGTTAAGAACCATGTCTCCTCAATGAAGGATGCTATTACTAAGAAAGGTAGGCAACCAATAAAAACTAGATGTTAGATGTATGGGTACATGCAGATATGTCCTTATTTCACTTAAGTTATAAATTTCAAACAAATATGTATATAAGGTTTGAAATTTTGAAAAATGATCTTAAATTCATATTTTGGAATAAAATTGTTAGGGAATGTGAAAGTTTGCATTATTTTTCAGAAGCAGTGGCCCAGCCAGATATGACCGTTACCAAGGCAACAGCTGCGGAGGCTGAGATTGCTGCCCCTAAATACCCATCAGGCATCACCGTGGAGAAAACTCTGGAATACATGAAGCAGTGGGGGAAAGGCAACAAAAAAGGTGAGGGAGGGATTTCAGAAGAGAATAATACTTAAAGGGGAGAGGGGTTAAGATTGGAAATAAATTACCTTTGGACCAAAAGGGATGAATTGTCTTCTTAAATACCGAGTACATTTGTTTTGATTTTACAAATTTTTTGTAACCAAAATGAAAACATGAAAGTGCGTTGACAGTCACTTGTTTATTTTGACTTGTTAAGAGTTGAAAACTGAAGAGGAGAGCCAGGAGGAGACAACTGAGGGTATTACTGGATTGCTGGAGTTTACCTTTGTTATTTTGCTTGGTTTTGTTTACAGTTGCTCTCTCTCTCTCTCTGTCTAATTTTTAGTTGATTCAACTTTTTTTGTTCCCAAAAGTTTTCCAAATTAATTTTGTTACAAGAAACTAGATCTAATTTTTTTTTTCGGGTACATGCTTCACAAATCATCATCTCTACATGATTAACTATAAACAATACATTGTATAAGCAGAATTTTTAACGAGGATTCAATTTTGACATTATAAGCCAGTGTATTGAAGTCACTAAAAATGAATATCTTTAATAATTCATTCTGTATCGCACGGCAGAGATAAGACTTGAGATCTTTCATGGCATTATAAATTGCTAAAATTACTTCTTGCTAACAGAATATAACATTTTTTTTATTACAATTTGTTGAATTTGCTTCTTACAAAAAAATCCACTTATATAATGTCTAATAACTACTACGATATGCTGAGCATCAACAAGCAAAGAAAATTTTGAGAGAAATATAAATCATGATCTGGTATGAAATTTCTTATCTAAACAAAAAGTTGTCTTGCAATAAATTTATAGAAATGGGGGGGGGGGGGGGGGGGGCAGGATATACATAAAACATGATAGTTGTGTTTAAAAAGTGCTGTTAAATATAAATCCTTCCATTTTGGATTTCAACATTTTGTTGCAACCATTTGCTATGGTTAAAAGAAAGTCAAGTAGAGATGAAATATACATGAAAGCATCTGTACACTTAATGTTTAGAATGCTTGTGCATTTGGACTAGAAGTGCTTTGTGCATGTAGTAATATCCTGTGTTCTTAATTATGTTGAAATTTTTGATAACACTTGACAGCTAATAATAGTTATGAAAATATGAATACGTGTATTGTAAAAGTATATTACAGTGAAATACTTGAAATGTAACAGTTAAGTATTAGATGAATAAATCCTTCATTTTGCAATAAAATTATTTCTTAAAAAAGTATTATGCTTTGAAAGGTTTGGCAAACTTAAACTAAGAGAATCAATAATGCTTTTTCTAAAAATGATGAAGATTCATTTTGACATATATTGCCTCAATTATTATTGGCATTTGTGGAGTTTGGCTTTGTAATCTTGTAGGTATACTGTAAATGTATTTAGTGATTGAGTACAATATTTGTGGAAATTTACTTTTCAACGAGTTAGCCTAGATTTGATTGAGTACATCTCTGAATGTATTTTATTTATTTCTATACATATATACAAGACATTTAGTGATTAATTTACCTGATTTAGCAAAAGTTGCTTTCTGAAAAAAAAAGCACTGAATAGAATACACAGCCTAATATAATACATTTACAATAATATTTTATAAATTAACAGTAATATTGATTAAAGAAGAAGTGCAGCTGCTAATCAATTCAGTTTTCTTCTATTCTCAGGTCAACAAAAGCTGTTCAACTATGAGGAATTCTTTGAGGGGGAGATAAACAAGAAGAAGAATGACCATACCTACCGTGTGTTTAAGAATGTCCAGCGGCGGGGGAGGGAATTCCCTTTTGCTGAGGACCACTCCACAGGAAAGAAGAAGGACATTACTGTCTGGTGTAGCAATGATTACCTGGGGATGAGCTGGCACCCCAAGGTCATCAACGCTGTCAGGTGAGGTCAAAATTCAAAGTGTCAGTGTGTGTGGAAGGAGGGATTTTGAATTCTAAAATCAGTGTTGTGACAAGTTCACTGTAACTCTTGAACATGTATGCTTTTAGTTTTTCTTTAGAATCTCGAGAACCTTGTTTACAAATGTTATCATTGTATACACTGAAATAAACAGATTCTTTAAGGGAATGTTGTGCATAAACAAAATATGATACACAGTTTGTAAATGTTTGATTTGTAAATGTAACGAAAATGTACAGTAATTTTAAAAAAGCTTAGTTTTCTTGGTTTCAGTGAAGCTCTGAAGAAGCATGGAGCTGGTGCAGGAGGAACTCGAAATATTTCTGGGAATTCCCCTCTCCATGAAGGACTGGAGGCGGAGCTAGCTTCACTTCACCAGAAAGAGGCTGCCCTAGTATTCACTTCCTGTTACGTAGCCAATGACACTTCTCTGTACACTCTAGGAAAAGCTATACCAGGTATGACAGAGAAGATACACAGGGATTTTGAAAATATTTTGTCTAATTATACAATATCAAAAGTAAAAATCATGTGTAATCACTTGTGTAATTTATACATGTAATGGTAGTATTGTAAATGTAGAAAAATAATGATTTATATAATTATACTTACATTACTTTCTGTATTTTAAAGGGAATTCCATAGTTCAAAACCATATTTTAAAAGTACAAGCAGAAAATAAAAGGGAATAGGACAGATTAAAACTATATATGATAATGCAGCAGCAATATTTTACCCACTAGAATAGTTCCATTTTCATTTCAATACAATTTGCTTCAGCCATTTTGATGTCACAAGATATAATAAGGAACTAACCAATCCTCCATCTCTTCTAATTTCTCTTCATCAGGTGTCCATATGTTTTCTGATGCTGGAAACCATGCCTCCTTGATTCAAGGTATACGGAACAGTGGTGTCCCTAAGCATATATTCCGACATAATGATCCACTGCATCTTGAGGAACTACTGAGGAAAGTGGACAAGAGTGTCCCAAAGATAGTGGTGTTTGAAACTGTGCATTCCATGACAGGTGACTTATACTTTTTTAGCTTTTATAGATATCCTTGATGCATACAAAATAAAATTCAGGAAATTACATATATCTGTAAATAATGATTTTTTTGATAAAGGGAAGGGAGTAAGGGTTCCATTTCATGGATTTATTTTATCTACAGGTGATGTGTCCCCCCTGAATGAGATGTGTGATGTGGCCCACAAGTATGGGGCTATTACGCTTGTTGATGAGGTCCATGCTGTGGGCCTTTACGGTGACCATGGGGCAGGAATTGGGGAGCGAGATGGATGTATGCACAAGATTGACATTATATCAGGAACTCTTGGTATGTAACCAAAGAGCAGTTAAAAAAGTCACAATTTGATAAGTGGAAAAAATTGTTAATTTCTTAATTATATGGGTAAAAGTTGTTAATTTCTTAATTAGGTGGGTTTGCTATACAAGATTTCTTTCTGATTCTCAGTTTTGGATACATGTAATGTTTAAGCAGCTTATGCCCATATATTTATATAAGGTCACAATTCTTAATTCTTTGATTTTATACAAATTTTGCAATTTTTTTTCCTTTTTTGCTTAAACATTTATAGTTCATATTCTTACTAGAGGTATCCATTTGTTTCATGCCATCAGGAAGTTGTATTACTGGGCAATTTTATGTTACAGGGAAAGCCTTTGGTAATGTTGGTGGATACATTGCCTCCTCTGCTCGTACTGTAGATATGATTAGAAGTTACGGGGCAGGCTTCATCTTCACTACAAGTCTCCCTCCCACCACTCTGGCAGGGGCACTGGCCTCCATTAGGGTAATTCCTCATTTCTACATCGTAAAGATCAGTTTGTAGAATCAAGTCTTTTGGAATTCTCACTAATAATCCTTTTATGGTAATGTTATAAAGCATGTTAAGATTTCAAACATAACAAAGTTTAAATTTATGTATGTTAATTGATAAACAGGTTTTGCGGAGTGAAGAAGGCAGACAGCTGAGGGAACGCCAGCAGAGTAACGTTAAATATCTGAGAAGTAACTTGATGGAGGCTGGTATACCCGCTCTTCACTGCCCCAGTCACATTATTCCTATCCATGTAAGGATTTAGCAGTTTCTATGTATCTCAGCCTCACTTTGATGTGAGAATTCCTGTAGTTTTGGAGTAACATGATAAAATTTCACAAAATCTCTTACCTTATGATGGCAAAATAATTTAACATACTGGAATACAATTATGAGGTTCATTTCTTCAAATAATCTATACATTTGAAAATAAAGAAATTAAATGTAAAAAAGAACAAAATTGTCCAGTAATCCAATCTTAAGATCAGACATTTTTCTCATTCCTAGGTTGGAGAGGCTGCATTGTGCACACATCTATCAGCTGAGCTCATGAATAAACATGACATCTATGTCCAGGCTATTAATTACCCAACTGTGGCCCGGGGGCAGGAGCGCCTCCGTGTAGCCCCCACCCCTCACCACACCAAGGCCATGATGGACTACTTTGTAGCATCAGTGGTCAGTGTATGGAAGGAGAATGGTCTGGAGCTAAACAGAGAGCGGTCAGTTTGTCCTGAGGAATGCGAGGTCTGTCAGAAACCACTGGATATCCAGATCTTACAGGCCGTGGAGAAAGTGTGTGGACGCTCCAACTGTACATATGCCTCACTCCAGGAAAACATCGCCTTTGCTTAAAGGGAGGCAACTCAAGGAAACAGTTGGAAAAAACATTAAAAAATCAATAAAAAAAGGAAAATGGGAAAATGTTATTAAAAAATATATATGGGGGAAATATCTAAATAATGACAAAATGTTGTTATTAAATAAGTCTTATAATTTTTTTTTTTTTTTTGAGAGAGATGTGACAGTTATTTTATTTTTATACTAGTAGTGAGAGATAATTATTTTTTTTATTGTTTATCTGAAGAAAAAGTTACAAGTTTTGTCCTGATTAAGAAAAAAGTATCTCTAAACTGAACCTGTAAATTATCTTAAAGTCAGACTTTGTAGCTTTGTGTTGGTTGTATAATTTTGTAGCCTTCACTTTTAATGAAGTATATCTTGCAAAAATAGGTTTTAGTATAAATTTTAAGTTCCTATAGGTATTTTTTAGAAAACTAGCTAGCATAGCTTATTACAGCACTGTAGTATTCCAAAATGTGTGACTTCATTGGGATGATGCAGTTATTTGATAAATTTTTTTTCTGAGAGGAATCTCATCATATACTTAAAGCTATTATATGTAGGCATTTGTATCACTGGACATGATTTTAATACGTACATTAGTCGATGATGAATGATATACAATCTATGTATACCTCCATTGTATCTGTTAATATCAAAGGCTTGGAAAACAAGATTTGATTTGTTATATTTATAGACAAAGATCTCTAAGTTATAGATTGTTGTTGTATTCTGTCTTTATGATGAAATATATCAGTCATGTTCTTCCTGTTTAATTATTCCCCTTTTGGACACCCCTGAAGTATTTTGAATTGTGAATTACATGCTCCCTTCTTTTTTTTTTTAACTCTCAAGGATACACATCTAGTATGAATTTTAGTCAGCTCAGGTGTTTATTTGGAGAAATAAATTATGGTTATTGTTAACTTAATTTAAAACTAACTTAATATATTTAATGTAGTAATTTAAGCTTTTTATTTTATTATATATTAAATTCAAATTAGTGGGCAATTTAGTTTTCGTTAAATTTTACTCTTCATAAGTGGTGATGGTATTTTGATAAAAAAAGCTCTTAATTACATTTTTGTCTTTTTTTTCTATAAAACAACATCTAATATCCTAATTTTATTTATAATATTTTATATGTATACCAGCTGTTTAAGATATTTAATTTTCAGGATGTGTCAGAAACTTTATGAATTGTGACATTTTTCCATGAGTGTAAAATTTGTTGGTTAAAATAAAAACTTAGTACATGTAAACAACTTTGAAATATTTATACTGTAACTATATATATATAATATATTTATATCTTAAATATTTGCTTTGAAATTTGTTCTTAAAATTCACTGCCAAATATTATGACCAAACTTTATCCTTCAGGAAAAAGCAATAAATATTTGAACATCATGTCTTTGTTTTTGTTTTTGTATCTGCAAGTCATTAACTGAAGATGCAGCTTAAAAGAGTAGACATTATGCACCTAAACTTTCACACATACGGAGGGTTTTTCTATATGTCTACTTTGACGTAGATTTTAGTTTTATATGGCCTCATTTACATAAGTGATGATTAATTTATTACAGGTGAATTTGATAATGTAAGCTGCTCCACGAAGTTTCAGACATAGCTGGCAGAGCTAAGTATACACTTCAGAAACGGATAAGCAAAAATGGTTTGAAGCTAACCAATGGCAGATCCAACAATTTGTAAGTGGGAGGTCTCACTAGATCTGTGCGTAACTGATAAATGTAGGCTGTTCTGCGAGCGTATTCATTTGTCTATGCTTTTTGTTTGTTGTTTAATGTCCCTCTCGAGAATTTTTCACTCATTTGGAGACGCCACCACTTACTGGGGGAGAGCTGCAAATTTTGACCTATAGTCGGCACTCAGGGCCATTGAGCAGTGAGGGATCTTTTTCGTGCCAGCATCTACTGCGACATGAGACCTCGGTTTATACGGTCTCATGCAAAGGACCGGTCTCCACGTCCCACAGCGGGATTCGAACCCGCGACATAAGGATCAACTCCTCACTCCGCGACTCTAGAGCAGATGCTCTAACCACTGCGCCATGCGGGCGACTGTCTATGCTTTTTAAAACATCAATAACCACTTTTTTTAAATTTTTTATTTTTCATATTGCACCTTCCGCATTGACTACAGCTCAGATATATCTTCACACAGGATGGCTTAAAATGAGGAACGAAGAAAAAGACACTGTCAAACAGATTTGTTGTTATCTATGTCTCTCTTTAGAGAAAGAAGTACAGGGAATAAAATCCATAACATTGTAAATTGATATAAGAGGCCCAAGGGCCTTAATGGTCACCAGAGTATAATACAACAATTCAGAGGATCCATAGAGTATAAAATAAACTGATAGATGAAGCTTTGTTGCCCAAAAGTAAGAGAAATAGGATGATCAGGATTGATGAAATAGTCTAGTATTCAATAACAACTCATAAATTAAGTCCTAATCTGTCCCCAGTTTATCACTATCACCATACAGACTATTAACAAACTATTAGTGCTTCTAACCCCATATACCTGCTCACATTGGCCTCTCCTAAATCTTGATCTTTGAAGAGCATTTAATAAGATAAGGTATTTTTGTCTCGTTTCCATTTATGTATTATTTACAAGTCTACCTGATCAGTAAAACTACGAAAGTACTTTTAGTATTACACAATAAAAATTCTTGCATAAATCTCTTATTCAACCTTCCAAATACATTTTTACAGTGATTAATTATCAAAAATGAATGGCAAAGGGGAATGACTTCTTGCAGTAGAATACAAATTAATAGATCCCTGGCCAGGACCAGAACACTTGACCAAATGGTGCAAATGTTCAAAAAATCTGGTAAAAATACCCTTGCTTATTAAAACTTTTACTCTAGATCTGTTTGCCTCTGAAATGCCCAGGAGCAGAGAAGATTTTCAAAGAAATAATGCATTTTCACTACAGATTCGTCACAGTCCTACCCTAACACCAAAACCCATGACCCAGGGTCATGAAATTCACAAATTTGGAAAAGGTACCCTCATCATCGTAACTATTTTTTTGCACTTAGTTGAAGATTTTCAAAGAATTAACACATCTTCAGTACATTATCGATAGACTCCCCCTTTGAGAAACACCAGAAACACTTACCCTGGTACCACATGTTTTAAAAATTCTGTAAGAAGCACCCTTGTTTATCATAACTATGCACTTTGTTAATCTGCTCAACATTTTGGTACAATAACGTTGGAGTGGGAGATGGGGATGGGTGGGGGACTGGGGGTGGGGGGTCTACGACCTTTGATGAAAAATTCGACACTGAATTATTTACACCAAAATACACCAAAGGTAGGGGTTCCACCTCTAAACTTCTACCCAATTTCCAGTATACAGCTGTTAGTCCAGTCAATTTAGCGAAAATATGGACCCAACGTCAAAGTTATTGCAACATGAATTATTTTGTCATAATTTAAATCTAGCATGTATAAAATATTTGCAATGAAAAAATCTAAGAAGATCTAATGAGCCGAACGCAAAATGTTGGCATGATTAATTAGCTATGGGAATTACTATAGAAAAGGGGCATAGCTCTGCAAATCCATACAATGTTTAAGTAAAAATGAAATTAAAAGCAGAAAAAAAGTGTAAGGGTAGGGACCCCCCCCCCCCTTACCCAACCCTCACCCTGGTTTCTTTGTGGCTGAATGTTATGTTCACCTGAGTGGAAGTCGGATGCAAATGAAATAGCTTTTAAACTATTTGTAATTTGTATCAATTTGGATTTTCCCGATCTATTCATAGTCCAATGTGGTAAAAAATAAATCCTTATGTTCATCTGGAAGGTCACGTGCAGGTGAACATAGCGTAGTATTATTTTTTTCACAATGCTGGATCTCAGCCAGTCACAGAGAAAGGAATTATGCAATCATATGATAAGAATTAGATTTAGACCTCTGCCCTAAAATTTTATCATATGAGGCGAGGAAATGCAACATACTCTCTGAAGTGAGCATTATTTAAGTGTAAAGGTTTTACTGAAGCTATAAATTTTATTATGCACAGTTTAATTCACCTTCTCTTTCTTGAAGTTAGAATTTCACTAGGGAGGAACGAACGACAACTCTGCAAAGGAGATTGCCAAACTAAGTTGACAAGAGTTATAGCCCCTTCTCTACAATATTTATGAACCCAAAATAATGCTTTCCCTCATCCGATTTTCTTAGATTTTTTTAATCAAATTTATTTGGTAAAATTCTAGAATTCACTTATAAAAAATAAATTGTGCTGCAATATGATAGTACTACGGTAATAAATCCATTTTTCCGGGTCTGCGAACTTCGATATGGATTTTTCTATTTACGGACCAAAGCAAAACATCCGATGTTTATCCTGATCACATGATTACGATGAAACACATTTTTGTAATAATTATATCAAATATGTGATGTCGCAATTAATTGTGTAATAAAATAGAGCAATGTTTGAAAGTAAACATGGGGAAGTCCGCCAGCGAAGTGTCAGCACGAACACATACTCTAGACCACAACAGGAAGAAACGTTCATTTCTGACGTAAGAAAAATAAAATATCTGCATAATTCTTCAGCTGTTCTTATGCAATTATGAAGGATAATTTACACACTTATATATATTTTGGATGAATTTCCAGATTACAAATAAAACTGATGCGAACGCTTTATTAGATATTCATACTTTGAACTGAATTTATCATAACGAACTAAGACAACAAATGTAGCCTATGTACAGGAAATATTTACGTTCAGAAATACCTGAAAAGATTATTGAGAAATCCTTTTTTCCTAGTAAGTATGCACATGAATTGATATTTTATGCATAGGGCTTGTCTTCCGGATTGTTAAATGTAAAATAAATTAATAAAATTTTTAATCTCTTTTAAATTAATACCCTTAAAAAGTTGTTGAAATAAAGATTCTGACACTTTCAGACAAGAAATGCCATGTTTTAAAAAAACATACCACACCTATATACATAAACTCTACAACGGACAAAAGCTCTGATCTTGGAAAAAATACCCCCACCCACTTTAGCACCTGTTTATGGACTCTAAAGCATAAATTAAACGACGAAAGGGCAATAATCGTGGTATATCATATAGCGCGCTTGTATAGCAAGTGTCTGGTATATTATGTAACTATTTAGTTAAACATTAAATGAAATGAGTCTTCCCAGTGCCACCTTAACTTCTGAAAACCAAACTTTAGCCAGTTCTTATTATTTTCACTGCCTTTTCTTGTCTGTGAACATTTTTTCTTCGAAGCTGGAAGTCCTTGGGTGTTACTATTCACTTTTGATTACCCTATGAGTTTTCCCTATACATTGATTATCTGCCTTTGTGATTTTGTAAACTTCCGTTCCTTCCAGATCGATTTGGTGAGATGAGCCTCCAAATCAAAGAAATTGTATCCATTTTCTTGTGATTGAAAGCGTGTTGATGACTGACATACACATCAACATTTAGGAAAATCATCACTGTAGGGAATAGAACCACAACAATGAAATAAATTAATGCTTAGAGTCCATAAACAGGTGCTGAAGTGGGTGGGGGTATTTTTTCCAAGATCAGAGCATCGTCCCTTGTAGAGTTTATGTATATAGGTGTGGTATGCTTTTTTAAACTTGGTATTTCTTGTCTGAAAGTGTCAGAATTTTTATTTTAACAACTTTTTATGTGTATTTAAATTAGATTTAAAATTTCATTAATTTATTTTACATTTAACAATCCGGAAGACAAACCTCTATGATTTTATGAAGCTTGAGTAATATTCGTATTGAGCAGTTGAATTTCTTTTGTATGAAGTTTGATGATCAAGTCTTTTCTTGAGAAAGGATATTATTGTTGAAGAGATTTGAAAAAAATTCCACAAATCACCAATCATTCCTCTGTCTTAGCATTCCATCCAGGTAATCGGTACATAAGTTATTGAATCAATCCAACCACTCCCAGCAAGGGTATAACTTTTATATTGCAATATAAGGCCCTTAATTAACACAACTTTTTCCACATTTGTTTTTAGCTCACCTCAACGAAGGTGGGGGGAGGTTATATAATACCCTTGTCGTCAGCGTCCCAGGTTAAAGTTTTTGGAGCAGATTTCTTTTCAAGTACTTATATGCTCTACATTAATCAGAGATGCATGGAAGATGCTTCTAGTATGTTTCATTGTACCAGTCAAAAGTTTCAGATACTGCAATTTCAGCTAAAGAAAGACCAGGTTAATGTTTCTGGAGCAGGTTAAAGTTTTTGGAGTAGGTCTCATTTCCAAGTAACTATAAGCCCTATATTGACCAAGCTTGCATGGATGATACATCTAAGGATGCACACTACCAGGCTTGCTTCGGATGCTGGATCTGACCTATATTTTCCAGATGACTGACTAGGTTAAAGTTTTTGGAGCAGGTTCATTCTAAAGTAATTATTTGCCCTATATTAGACCAAACTTGCAAGGATGATACATCTAAGGATGCACACTATTGGATTTGCTTTGGATGTTGAATTTGACCAACATTATCCAGAAAAGTGACCAGGTTTAAGTGTTTGGAGCAGTTTCTTTCTAAAGTGACTATAAGCCCTATGCTAACCATTTTTGCACTGAAGATACATTTATTGAATCACACTACCAGAGTTGCTTCAGATGCTGGATCTGACCTACATTTTCCAGAAAAGTGAACCAGGTTAAAGTTTTTGGAGCAGGTCCATTCCCAAGCAACTATAAGACCTACCACCAAACTTGCATGGATGATGCATCTAGGGATGAACAATATCAGAACGTCTTCAGAGGCTGGATCTGACCTACATTTTTCTAATGAATGACCAGAATAAAATTTTTAGAGCAGGTCCATTCCCAAGTAACTTAAAGACGTACCGGAACCAAACTTGCATGGATGATGCATCTAGGGATGCACACTACTAGATTATTAGATTAGTGTTGGACTTTGCCTTACTTAAAGACAACATTTGTTGATGTGAGCTCTTTAATCTCTGACTATCTATGTTTAAACAAGATGTCAGAAGTACATGCATTCCATTTTTAAAGATGTATTTAAAATGCTTTGTTTATCTAGACCTATGATATTGTGGAAGATGATGGAAAAAACAGAAACACAGGGTTTACTTCGGACTGTGAAAAAGAAATTTATGAAATGCAGCTACTTCAACTTCAAGAACAGTTAGAAGCTGCAATGATTGAGAAAGAACAACTTGGTATGTCAATATTAGGAATGGGCCGGCTTTGCCAAAAATTTTGTATTTATAAATTTTATATATCACAATTTTTTCCAAAAATTTCCCAATAATATCATGATATATTTTTACAAGCAATTTTTACTATAATTTCAAATTAATTTCTTTTTTACAAATATATTGTGAAAACATAATTTCATTTTTTTATTTTTTATTCATATATTATATTGATAGAGCATGTTTGGATGTTTTACAACATTTATTAGAATTCCAGTTATTGTAATTTAAAACTTTGAAGAAAAAAAAATTTCTGGAATTTATTATTACATACATAGTTTAGTCTCCATATCACAATACCTATTGAGCAGTAAAAAATCACAATATATACATGTACCGGCATATTGATAAAATTGCACATCCCTCTTCAGTATCAAACTATGCTTTAAAGATAACAGGTGTCAGAAATCAATTTTCCTTACATTTTCAACTTTACTTTGTTTATTTCTTTTTTCCCTGTAAAAAATTGAACACCAGCAAAAAAGCTGAAGAAATTTTCTGAAGCCTCATTTAGGAAACTCCAAGATGACCTTGAAGCAGAAAAGTGAAAAAACAAGGATCTTCAACTGATGATAACTTCAAAAAGGTAAAACGCTCACTCATGTCTTGGTATTTCAAACACCTTGTTTTCTCCAAAACTAGATGCATTGTCAAACATTATTAAAATACACTATAAACTAAAGATAAAATCCTAAGCAATCCTTAGATTATATGGCTGTTTGTTTTTAATTTGTTAATCTTATAAAATGAAAAAAAAAAGAAAATGCTAAATTGACCATATTATATAATTTTTCAAATTCAGCTTTTTGATAGTGTATGTTCTATAAGATGGACCTTCTTGTTTTTACATAAAGAAAAAAAAACATGAGCTGAAAAAAAATTAAAATCATTTCAGACACAGCAATTTCTTACTTCACTCTTCCACCGAGGCTACCTCTACAACTGATCTTAAGAGAGTAGGATCCGAAAGTAAGAAAAAAGGGAAGGAAGAACACAGCTCAAACAAAACAGGTGTTATACACTGTGAATTATCATCATATTGTGCCATATCATTATATACAATGAATTACCCTATAAATGTTAAAGAGAAAATAAAAGTAAAAGAAATAAACAAAACCAAAAAGAATTTCAGCCAATCAAAATAGTGTATTTCAATATCATCTACATGTAATTGTTATTCAATATTGAATGATTAACATATATATTCTTTAGAGAAGAAAGGGAATCTTCCAACAAGAATTATGGAGAGAGTGGTCTGCTCTTTGTACGACATTGCAGATGATTTCTCCCCCGACACTTCAGAGGAATCAGCAGAGGAAGAAAAGGACACCCAAGTCAACATCACAATGTAAGTGTAGGACACAAGTCAACATCACAATATAGTGAAGGACACAAGTCAACATTACAAGGTAAGTGTATATGTATGACACAAATCAACATCACAATGTAAGTGTAGGACACAAGTCAACATCACAATGTAAGTGTAGGACACAATTAAGTCAACATCACAATGTAAGTGTAGGACACAATTAAGTCAACATCACAATGTAAGTGTAGGACACAAGTCAATATCACAATGTAAGTGTAGGATACAAGTCAACATCACAATGTAAGTGTAGGACACAAGTCAACATCACAATGTAAGTGTACATGTATGACACAAATCAACATCACAGTGTAAGTGTAGGACACAAGTCAACATCACAATGTAAGTGTACATGTATGACACAAGTCAACATCACAATGTAAGTGTATGACACAAGTCAACATCACAATGTAAGTGTATGACACAAGTCAACATCACAATGTAAGTGTAGGACACAAGTCAACATCACAATATAAGTGTAGGACACAAGTCAACATCACAGTGTAAGTGAAGGACAAAAGTCAGCATCACAATTGTAAGCGTAGCACACAAATAAGTCAACATCACAATGTAAGTGTATGACACAAGACAACATCACAATGTAAGTGTAGGACACTATTCAACATTGCAGTGTAGGTGTAGGTCACAAGTCAACATCACAGTGTAGTTGTGGGACACACAAACATCCCAATATATGTTTAGGATATATAACAGATTTGCAAATCTCTTTTGTGAGAAAGGTATGCAGCAACAAGATCAGGTAAATGTTCTGCTTCAAGGAACTCTTGTTTAAACCCAAAATATGTATGGAGTTGAGAATATTGACTCCATTAAAGTTTTCAATACTTGTATTTTGATCTGCTTAAAAATAATTGTGACAAAAAATTAGCCAGTTGATAAAGTTGTTTAATATGCAATATATCTCACAGTGAAAATTTTGCTTCCTTTTAGTCTAAAAGAGAACGTCAAAAGGTTTAGTAAGTATTTAAAAGAAATTAACTAACAAATATCACTTGTAGTTCAAATGTAAACAAAAAAACTTGATCAATTATAAAAATGCAAGGACAAAATCACTGTATCTTTTCATTTTCCTAAGGTTTATACAAAGTGTTGATTGCACGATTGTTTTGCAATTTCACAGGCACAGCATTAAAACCATACATCAACACAATAAAAGGAATACAGGGACTCTTCCACTGGGAGTCATCAGCTTATACACTGGTGGTCTTCATGGTATAATTCTAGTCTAAAATGTACTTAAAAGTCTTCATATTTTAAAGTGAACAAAAGGATGTCAACATGTCAACAATCATAAGCTACAAATTGTCATCATTCATGCCTCTTGATTCAGGAATTATGAATGTCAAATTTTGACATGCTTTAGATTCAGAATCATGTATATTATAATGTAGCTGTGACTCATCCTTATACATCCCTACACATCATCTGTTTATGTATTTTCTTGGTAAGATATTCCCTCTCTGAGACTCAGGTCCATGTGTAATATAGATCCAAACTGTTTGTTTTGTAACTGTTGGTTGAATGGATGATAGTTTTTGATTGTTTGATTGTATGGAGTTTTCCATCCCAGCAGTCATCAGATTTACATGATATGACAGAATGAGATCTTTGATATGGACTTTGGCAAATGTATTGGAGTTTTGTTTCTAATCCCTGTAAGACTTTGAAACCCAGAGTTTGTGGTCTTAGTGCAGAACTAATAACAATACCAAAGAAAGGGTATAGACATCACTTTTAATAAAAATCAAGGTCTGAAGAGACCAAGTTTTAAACTCATCATGGCCTTTCACTTACATGTACTTAAAAAAGCAAAAAGAAAGAAAAAGAAAAACAATAAATTTTTTTAAACTTGATTCCTCAGCAGACTCTGAAAGGTTATCATAACATGTTAAATATAAAAACACATGTACGCATAAAAGTCATTTTTGCCATGTCTGTTTACCTGATAAAGTTTTCATAATATAAGTAAACGTATAGAATTTAGAGTGTTAATTGAGCAAAAGGTATTAATTTCTACCTGACAGACAGTTGTGTGAGAGTATTAAGTTGTTCTCATTACTGCAGGTTTACATGTATGCTGTCTGGCAAGGAAGGGCTGTACAACTTTTCTTATTATGTCTCATCTTCAGACACTTCATCAGTTATCTACAAAGCTTGTAAGTTCTACTAAGCTTGTAAGTTCATCAATTATCTATAAAGCTTGTAAGTTCATCAGTTATCTAAAAAGCTTTCAAGTTCATCAGTTATCTAAAATGCTTGTAAATTCATCAGTTATCTTACAGAGCTTGTAAGTTCATTGGTTATATATGAAGCTTTTAAGTTCATTAGTTATCTACAGAGCTTGTAAGTTCATCAGTTACCCACAAAGCTTGTAAGTTCATTAGATTTCTACAAAGCTTGTAAGTTGATCATTTTTCTTCAGAGCTTGTAAGTTCATCAGTTATCTATAGAACTTGTAGTTTATCAGTTATCTACAAAGCTTGTAAGTTCATCAGTTATCTATAGAACTTGTAGTTTATCAGTTATCTACAAAGCTTGTAAGTTCCTCAGTTATCTACAGAGCTTATAAGTTCATCAGTCATCCATAGAATTTGTAAGTTCATCAGTCATCTACAGAGCTTGTAAGTTCTTCAGTTATCTAGAGAGCTTGTAAGTTCCTCAGTTATCTGTAGAAATTGTAGTTTATCAGTTATCTAATGAACTTGTAAGTTCATCAGTTATCTACAGAGCTTGTAAGTTCATCAGTTATCTAGAGAGCTTGTAAGTTCCTCAGTTATCTGTAGAACTTGTAGTTTATCAGTTATCTAATGAACTTGTAAGTTCATCAGTTATCTACAGAGCTTTTAAGTTCATCAGTTATCTATAGAGCTTGCAAGTTCATCAGTTATCTACAGAGCTTAAACATATATGCAAGTTCTTCAGTTACCTACAGAGCTGTAAGTTCATCAGTTATCTACAGAGCTTGTAAGTTCATCAGTTATCTACAGAGCTTGTAAGTTCACAGGCCTCTGTGAAGTTAACATCAGCATCATTGTTATACATTGCTTTCTTCATTGTTTGAGCATTGTTTTGCCATTGACTCATAAGAATATGTGATCATCTGTTTTACAAGACTAAAAGATGACTACATGAATGTATTTAATAAAGATGACAAGGATTTTTAATCATATATTCAATTGTTGATTACCTTTTAACATTATGTTATTGTATTTTTAGAGGAATCAAAATCAAGTTTAATTTTTTGGACAGAGAAGAAGAAAACAAAATAAAAGTAAGCTACGAATCTTACTCAAACTTTTGAATTTAATAACCATAAGACACTGAGATTGTAGTGTAGAGCACTTTTGATTATCCTTCTTATCATCCTCAATGTACAGTCAAATCTCATTATCTTGAACTCAATGGAACCAAGAAAAAACTTGGAGATATCAGAGGATTCGAGATATCCAGGGTAAAATACTTAAAGAATAAGGGGTTGGGACTTCCAAAACTTTGACATATCCATGGTATTCGAGATGTCAGTGTTTGAGATACTGAAGTTCAACTGTACATTTTTACTGCCTTTTAACTAAAATAAGTTTTTGGAGCAGGCGTCATTTTTCTGGTTTTCTTGTTTACATTCAGAAAGAAGAGTCATCTTTAGGGCTATCAGACAAAATTAATGTGGTTGTACAGGTAGCCAAAAAAGTACAGGTTAGTTGTTCAAATAGTCATAAGGATATTAGAATTATTGAAATTATCTCAATATTTTAACGACTCAAAGACACATCATGAAGTTAACTTGTAAAACAGAACTAATATGTCTTCCTGTGTCCAAATGTAGGATTTTCTCGGTAAAGCTGCGGACAGTCTAGAGAAGATTGAGAGGTATGCAGAACATCAGAATGACTTAAACATCAGAATGACTTAAACATTAGAATGACTTAAACATAAGTTAACTATTACAAGTAAAAATTATGAGAGTTATATAAAACTGTTACCGTAGTGATCAACTGATCTGTAATATTCAAGACCAGCAACGTTTACTTAATATACATCTTATTTAATTTTTGATTGACACAGTGTACTGACATGGCGATACAGACCTGCCGCCCAGCGAATCTTCCTTGGTCTCTGTGTTTGTCTTGTTATGTCTGCAGTGATGGACTTTGACTTGTTGCTCTGTGTTATGGGTGAGATTTCTATCAGCTATCAACTTAAGAAAATTTTCAAGGATCTGTCATTACATGTATCTTTTTAATCATTTTTAGGTCACTTGAGTTTACTCAGGTGACCTATTGCTACCTGTTTTCGTCCGTCCTCACGCTTTAACATTTGAAAATTTTCAGCTTCTTCTCTGAAACTGCTTGACCAGTTTCAACCAATTTTGGCATATATTATCTATGGGTGAAGGGGAACAACCTCCCCTGGGAGGGGGGGGGGGGCTGAGACCACTAAAATTAATGCAATCTTTAAAAATCTTCTTCTTTACTCCTGGACATCAAGCAGTCAAATTGTTGGCATGATTGTAATAATCATTGAGCCCTCTACCAAAATTGTGAAATTTATAGCCCCAGGGTCAAGGATTCTGGTGCTAGGGCAGGGCTCTGTTGAATATATGGTGAAAATGCATTATTTCTTAAAAAAATTTTCTCCTCTGCTCTTGGGTATTAAGGAAACAAACAATATGCATATTTCTGATGAGGAAAGGTGCCTCTTCCAAAATCTTGAATTTTGTGGCCCCTGGGTCAGAGGTTCTGGTGTTAAGGTGGGGCTCTAATGATTATACAGTCAAAATGCATTAATGCTTTAAAAATCTTCTCCTCTGCTCCTGGGTATTAAACCAATTAACTAAATACATATTTATGATGAGGAAGAGTGCCTCTTCCAAAATTGTGAATTTTATGGCCCCTGGGTCAGGGGTTCTGGTGTTAGGGGGGCTCTAATGATTATATAGTGAAAATGCATTAACTCTGTGAAAATCTTCTCTGCTCCTGGGTATTAAGCCGATAAACTAAGTACATAGTTATGATGAAAAATAGTGCCCCTTCAAAAATTGTGAATTTCATGGCCCCAGGGTCAGGGGTTCTGGTGCTTTCCTGGGGCTCTATTGATTAATTAGCAAAAATGCATTAATGCTTTGAAAATCTCCTCCTCTGCCTACTGAGTACTTAGCGAACAAACTAAATGCAATAATATCAGTGTAAATTTATTAAATATAATTATAAGTAAATGTGCCTTTTCTTTGCTCCTAGGTATCTAGGAGGCAAACAGGGTACACAATTGTAATGAGTGAAGAAAATGAGAGTTTCTCCCCTTTGCTAGATTTTGTTAATCAAGAAATCCTTGTATATAATTTAATTAACAGGTTATTTGATTGAATGAGAATACAAGAAAGAATGTTATATATAAAACAAAATTGCTTGGTTTAAATGAGCAAAGCATGCTCAAAGTCAGATTCTTGTCTGGAAAGCAATATAAAAGATGGGCATAAAGATTAATTATATATTTAGCAAAAGTTGTAATTGTACAGAGTGTGTTTACACTGAGGTGATCTGTTTTACAGTGGATGAGTTATTATCAGGTAAAATCAAGGTTGACAAGAGACTGGATAAAGTTGTTTTATACTTTATCAAAGTGAACAAAGAATCAAAGAGAGCCAGGGTGACTTGTAATTAGTGGCAAATAGCAATGTTATATAGCCAAGTCTCTATGTACTGAATTGTAGCACTATGAAAGTGACATAAATTGAATACCCTACACAATAGGCAAGTATTCATTGTATTTGTATATTTTGCATTCATTATCATCTCTTTGAGGCTTGGGAAAACCAAGTATGATCCCAAGGAGATCACTCAGGTCTAGCACGCTACAATAAGCAAGGGTATTTTTACCAGATTTTTGAAATTCTTGGGCAACATTGCTTCGTCTATCAGTTAATTTTGTTTTATACTTCTATGGATCCTTTACAGTGTTGTATTATACTCAGGTGACCGTTAAGGCCATTGGGCCTCTTATACATGTATATAAAAAATGTCGTTAATATTCTTTGACAAGTTACTTGTAGTTTAAAAGCTAGAAAACAAATCGATGTGATAAGAAGTTCTGCTTCTTGTTACCATAGTTACTATTTATGGTAGAATATATATCTATTTCATATTTTTCAGGTCTCAATATCGGAATAAAGCTCTTTTTAATTGACTTTATTTACTATAAATTCCCAAGAGTACAGAAAAAGTATGATTCAGTTTATAAACTATGGAAGGCTCTTCCAACAAAAGAGGAATGGCAGAAGACACACATCAAGTCACAGATAGACAAAGTAAGGGGCTAAAACACTGATAAACACACATCAAGTCACAAATAGACAAGGCAAGGGGCTAAAACACTGATAAACACACATCCAGTTACAGACAGACAAGGCAAGGGGCTAAAACACTGATAAACACACATCCAGTCACAGATAGACAAGACAAGGGGCTAAAACACTAATAAACACCCATCCAGTCACAGATAGAGAAGACAAGGGGCTAAAAGACTGATAAACACCCATCCAGTCACAGACAGACAAGGCAAGGGGCTAAAAGACTGATAAACACACATCCAGTCACAGACAGACAAGGCAAGGGGCTAAAAGACTGATAAACACACATTCAGTCACAGATAGAGAAGACAAGGTGCTAAAACACTGATAAACACACATTCAGTCACAGATAGACAAGACAAGGGGCTAAAATACTGATAAACACACATCCAGTCACAGATGGAGAAGACAAGGGGCTAAAAGACTGATAAACACACATTCAGTCACTGATAGACAAGGCAAGGGACTAAAACACTGATAAACACACATTCAGTCACAGATAGACAAGACAAGGGGCTAAAATACTGATAAACACACATCCAGTCACAGATAGAGAAGACAAGGGGCTAAAAGACTGATAAACAGACATTCAGTCACTGATAGAGAAGGCAAGGGGCTAAAACACTGATAAACACACATTCAGTCACAGATAGAGAAGACAAGGGGCTAAAACACTGATGAAGTCATTATCATTATTCAAATTGATCTGGCTTTTGCTGCCTTTTATGATTCTCCACAACTATGAAGTCTTGAGGTTGTTAAAACCTTAAGCTGATTCGTTAGCATTGGTGGTATATTGGTATAATGTATTCATTATTTTAAGACAATTATGACAAAAAGTTTCAGTCTCTCAAAAGAGGTATGCATTTTTTATGATGTGTTTTATTTATTAGCAAAGTATTATTTCTAAATTCTTGTTTTTTTGCCATATCAAAAATATAGGTATCTCATAAAAATCTAGAGTACTGGCCTTCATGAAAATTAACTTAACAGTATCAATTCTTCATGATACAACATTTATATCGTTTGTGATTTAATTACAGATTGTGAGATTTCTTTTTTCAGTATGTATTGTCAGATGTCGGTAAAGAGAATGAGGACAATATAACGGCTTCAGGAGAGGAAAATCCGGAAACCTTAACAGAGGCGGATCTAACAACTGAAGACAAATCTTTCTGTCAACTCTTTTGTTTACCTTCCTCTGAAATACCTTTACAAGGTTTGAGTCTTCAAAGCTGTTATTATTAAGAGTTGGTCAAATTAAAAATCATTAAGATTCTTTTTTTCAATTTTTAGGTCACCTGAGTCACTCAGGTGACCTATTGCTATCCGTTTTTGTCCGTCGGCGTGCGTCGTCCGATGTGCGTTAACATTTGAACATTTTTAGCTTCTTCTTTGAAACTGCTCAACCAATTTCAACCAAATTTGGCATATAGCATCTATGGGTGAAGGGGAACAAAAATTGTGAATTTCATGGTCCCTGCCCCCCTGGGGCCTGATGGGTGGGGCTAAAACCACCAAAATTAATGCAATCTTTAAAAATCTTCTTCTTTACTCCTGGACATCAAGCTGTCAAACTGTTGGCATCATTGTAATGAGCATTGAGTCCTCTACCAAAATTGTGAAATTCATGGCCCCAGGGTCAGGGGTTCTGGTGCTAGGGCGGGGCTATATAGATCATATAGTGAACGTGCATTATTTCTTTGAAAATCTTCTTCTCAGCTCCTGGGTATTAAATAAACTAACTAAGTATATAGTTATGATGAGCATTGAGTCCTCTACCAAAATTGTGAAATTCATGGCCCCAGGGTCAGGGGTTCTGGTGTAAGGGCGGGGCTCTATTGATTATATAGTGCAAATGCATTAATTCTTTGAAAATCTTCTTCTCTGCTCCTGGGTATTAAATAAACTAACTAAGTATGTAGTTATGATGAGGAGGTGGGCCTCTTCCAGAATTGTGAAAGCCATGGCCCCTGGGGCAGGGGTTCTGGTGTAAGGGCGGGGCTTTATTGATTATATAGTGAAAATGCATTAATTTTTAGGTCACCTGAGTCACTCAGGTGACCTATTGCTATCTGTTTTTGTCCGTCGTCGTGCGTCGTCCGTCGTGCGTTAACTTTTGAACATTTTTAACTTCTTCTCTAGAACCGCTCAACCAATTTCAACCAAATTTGGTATATAGCATCTATGGGTGAAGGGGAACAAAAATTGTGAATTTCATGGTCCCTGCCCCCCCGGGGCCTGAGGGGTGGGGCTAAAACCACCAAAAATAATGCAATCTTTAAAAATCTTCTTCTTTACTCCCGGACATGAAGCAGTCAAACTGTTGGCATCATTGTAATAAGCATTGAGCCCTCTACCAAAATTGTGAAATTCATGGCCCGAGGGTTAGGGGTTCTGGCCCCAGGGTGGGGCTATATAGATCATATAGTGAAAGTGCATAAATTCTTTGAAAATCTTCTTCTCTGCTCCTGGGTATTAAATAAAGGAACTAAGTACATAGTTATGATGAGCAAGAGTGCCTCTTCCAAAATTGTGAAATTTATTGCCCCAGGGTCAGGGGTTCTGGCCCCAGGGTGGGGCTATATAGATCATATAGTGAAAGTGCATTAATTCTTTGAAAATCTTCTTCTCTGCTCCTGGGTATTAAATAAAGTTACCAAGTACATAGTTATGATGAGCAAGAGTGCCTCTTCCAAAATTTTGAAATTCATGGCCCCAGGGTCAGGGGTTTTGGTGTTAGGGTGGGGCTGTATTGATTATATAGTGAAAATGCATTAATTCTTTGAAAATCTTCTTCTCTGCTCCTGGGTATTAAATAAAGGAACTAAGTACATAGTTATGATGAGCAAGAGTGCCTCTTCCAAAATTGTGAAATTCATGGCCCCAGGGTCAGGGGTTCTGGTGTTAGGGCAGGGCTCTATAAATTATATAGTGAAAATGCATTAATTCTTCGAAAATCTTCTTCTTTGCTCCTGGGTATTTAATAAAGTAACTAAGTATGTAGTTATGATGAGGAGGTGGGCCTCTTCCAGAATTGTGAAAGCCATGGCCCCTGGGTCAGGGGTTCTGGTGTTAGGGCGGGGCTCTATTGATTATATAGTAAAAATGCTTTAATTTTTTGAAAATCTTCTTCTCTGCTCCTGGGTATTATTTAAACAAACTAAGTGCATGGTTATGATGCATAAGGATGCCTTTTCAAAAATTGTGAATTTCATGGCCCCAGGGTCAGGGGTTCTGGTGTTAGGGTGGGGCTGTATTGATTATATAGTGAAAATGCATTGATTCTTTGAAAATCTTCTTCTCTGCTACTGGAGACTATTTAAACGCATAAGGATGCCTTTTCAAAAATTGTGAATTTCATGGCCCCAGGGTCAGGGGTTCTGGTGTTAGGGCGGGGTTCTATTGATTATATAGTGAAAATGCATTGATTCTTTGAAAAACTTCTCTGCTACTGGAGATTATTTAAACAAACTAAGTGCATGATTATGATAGACAAGGATGCCTCTTCCAAAATTTTTAAATATATGGCCTCAGTTTTTGGGGTTCTTGAGGAGGGGGGGGGGGGCTAGGGCAACAATGCTTCATCTATCAGTGTATTTAACTTCTAAATTGTTGTATTATACTCAGGTGACCGTTAAGGCCCTTGGGCCTCTTATTGAAAATCTTCTTCTCTGCTCCTGGGTATTAAATTCAATAACTAAGTACATAGTTAGGATGAACAAGAATGCCTCTTCCAAAATTGTGAATATCATGGCCCCAGGAGCAGGGGTTCTGGTGTAAGGGCGGGGCTTTATTGATTATATAGTGAAAATGCATTAATTCTTTGAAAATCTTCTTCTCTGCTCCTGGGTATTAAATTCAATAACTAAGTAAATAGTTAGGATGAACAAGAATGCCTCTTCCAAAATTGTGAATTTCATGGCCCCAGGGGCAGGGGTTCTGGTGTTAGGGTGGGGCTCTATTGATTATATAGTGAAAATGCATTAATTCATTGAAAATCTTCTTCTCTGCTCCTGGGTATTAAATTCAGTAACTAAGTACATAGTTATGATGAGCAAGAGTGCCCCTTTCAAAATTGTGAATTTCATGGCCCCAGGGGCAGGGGTTCTGGTGTTAGGGTGGGGCTCTATTGATTATAAAGTGAAAATGCATTAATTCATTGAAAATCTTCTTCTCTGCTCCTGGGTATCAAATTCAGTAACTAAGTACATAGTTATGATGAGCAAGAGTGCCCCTTTCAAAATTGTGAATTTCATGGCCCCAGGGGCAGGGGTTCTGGTGTTAGGGCGGGGCTCTATTGATTATATACTGAAAATGCATTAATTCATTGAAAATCTTCTTCTCTGCTCCTGGGTATTAAATAAAGGAACTAAGTACATAGTTATGATGAGCAAGAGTGCCTCTTCCAAAATTGTGAAATTCATGGCCCCAGGGTCAGGGGTTCTGGTGTTAGGGCAGGGCTCTATAAATTATATAGTGAAAATGCATTAATTCTTCGAAAATCTTCTTCTTTGCTCCTGGGTATTTAATAAAGTAACTAAGTATGTAGTTATGATGAGGAGGTGGGCCTCTTCCAGAATTGTGAAAGCCATGGCCCCTGGGTCAGGGGTTCTGGTGTTAGGGCGGGGCTCTATTGATTATATAGTAAAAATGCTTTAATTTTTTGAAAATCTTCTTCTCTGCTCCTGGGTATTATTTAAACAAACTAAGTGCATGGTTATGATGCATAAGGATGCCTTTTCAAAAATTGTGAATTTCATGGCCCCAGGGTCAGGGGTTCTGGTGTTAGGGTGGGGCTGTATTGATTATATAGTGAAAATGCATTGATTCTTTGAAAATCTTCTTCTCTGCTACTGGAGACTATTTAAACGCATAAGGATGCCTTTTCAAAAATTGTGAATTTCATGGCCCCAGGGTCAGGGGTTCTGGTGTTAGGGCGGGGTTCTATTGATTATATAGTGAAAATGCATTGATTCTTTGAAAAACTTCTCTGCTACTGGAGATTATTTAAACAAACTAAGTGCATGATTATGATAGACAAGGATGCCTCTTCCAAAATTTTTAAATATATGGCCTCAGTTTTTGGGGTTCTTGAGGAGGGGGGGGGGGGGGGGCTAGGGCAACAATGCTTCATCTATCAGTGTATTTAACTTCTAAATTGTTGTATTATACTCAGGTGACCGTTAAGGCCCTTGGGCCTCTTGTTGAAAATCTTCTTCTCTGCTCCTGGGTATTAAATTCAATAACTAAGTACATAGTTAGGATGAACAAGAATGCCTCTTCCAAAATTGTGAATATCATGGCCCCAGGAGCAGGGGTTCTGGTGTAAGGGCGGGGCTTTATTGATTATATAGTGAAAATGCATTAATTCTTTGAAAATCTTCTTCTCTGCTCCTGGGTATTAAATTCAATAACTAAGTAAATAGTTAGGATGAACAAGAATGCCTCTTCCAAAATTGTGAATTTCATGGCCCCAGGGGCAGGGGTTCTGGTGTTAGGGTGGGGCTCTATTGATTATATAGTGAAAATGCATTAATTCATTGAAAATCTTCTTCTCTGCTCCTGGGTATTAAATTCAGTAACTAAGTACATAGTTATGATGAGCAAGAGTGCCCCTTTCAAAATTGTGAATTTCATGGCCCCAGGGGCAGGGGTTCTGGTGTTAGGGTGGGGCTCTATTGATTATAAAGTGAAAATGCATTAATTCATTGAAAATCTTCTTCTCTGCTCCTGGGTATCAAATTCAGTAACTAAGTACATAGTTATGATGAGCAAGAGTGCCCCTTTCAAAATTGTGAATTTCATGGCCCCAGGGGCAGGGGTTCTGGTGTTAGGGCGGGGCTCTATTGATTATATACTGAAAATGCATTAATTCATTGAAAATCTTCTCCTCTGCTCCTGGGTATTAGATAAACTAAGTAAGTACATAGTTATGATGAGCAAGAGTGCCTCTTCCAATATTGTGAATTTCATGGCCCCTGGATCAGGGGTTCTGGTGTTAGGGTGGGGCTCTATTAATTATATAGTGAAAATGCATTAATTCTTTGAAAATCTTCTCTACTCCTGGGTATTATTGAAACACATTAAATACATAATAATGATAATCAAGGACGCCTCTTCCAAAATTGTGAAATTCGTGGCCCCTGGGTCAGGGGTTCTGGTGTTAGGGCTGGGCTCTATTGATTATAAAGTGAAAATGTTTTAATTCTTTAAAAATCTTTTTCTCTGCACCTGGGTATTATTTAAACAAACTAAGTACATTGTTATGATAAGCAAGGATGTCTCTTCCAAAATTGGGAAATTCATGGCCCCAGGGACAGGAGTTCTGGTGCTAGGGCGGGACTATATAGATCCTATAGTCAAGGTGAATTATTTCTTTGAAAATCTTTTTCTCTGCCCCTGGGTATTGTTTAAACAGACTAAGTACATTGTTATGATATGCAAGGATTCCTTTTCCAAAATTGTGAATTTTATGACCCCAGGTTTAAGGGTTCTGGTGAAGGGGGGGGGGGGGGGGGGCTTCTATTGATTATAAAGTGAAAAAGCAAAATTTCTTTGACAATATTCTTTTCTGCTTCTCGTTAAAAAAGCAAAGAAGCTAAGTGTATAGTTATGATGAGCAAGAGTGCTTCTTTCAGAGTAGTGAATTTCATGACCCCTGGGTCAGATGTGCTGGTGTGAGAGTGGGGCTCTTGATAATATAGTGAAAATGCATTAATTCTATTAAATAATCCTGTTTACTCCTTAGTGTTAAGCAGATAAACAAAGTGATTAGTAATGATAAGCAAACTTATGGTCCCAGGGTCAGAAGGTCTGGTGTTTTGGGGGGGGGGGGGGGGAGGGGGAGGGGGGGGCTCTATTGATAATATAGTGAATCTGTAGTTAAAATGCATTATTTCTTTAAAAATCTTCTCCACACCTGGGCATATCTGAGGTAAATAGAGTAAAAAATTTTATAAGGAAGGGAATTTTTACCAGATTTTTGAACATCTTGACCATTTGGTCAAGTGTTCTGGTCATGGCCAGGGCTCTATTAGTTTGTATTCTACTGTGAGGAGTTATTCCCCTTTGCCATTTACTTTTGATAATTTATCACTGTAAATAATGTACTTGAAAGGTAAATAGAATAAGAGAATTATGCAAAAACTTTTATTGTATAATACAAAAAGTACTTTCATTGTTTTAATGATCAGATAGACTTGTAAGTAGTAGATAAATAAAAATGAGACAAAAATAACTTGTCTTATTAAATGTTCATCAAAGACCAAGAGAGGCCAATGTAAGAGATTTTAACAAGGCATTAAAATAGTAGAGAAGCATTGATAATTTGTTAATATACCGTATGGCGATAGTGATAAATGGGGAACAGATTAGAACCTAAATTATAAACTGTTAATGAATATCAAGACCAATTATTTTGTTGATCATGATCACCCTATTTTTTTTTCTTTTGGGCAACAAAGCTTCACCTTTCAGTTCATATTATACTCTATGCATCCTTTAAATTATTGTATTATACTCAGGTGACCGTTAATGCCCTTGGGCCTCTTGTTAAAATTCATTTTGCTTCTTTTCACTATTCGTTGTTTCTTTCACTGTTTATTTATCTTTATACCTAATTTCACAGTTTTAGTTGAGTTTTTTTTTAAGGGAATGGGCAAAGATTAAATATTGTAAAAAAAAAAAGAAAAAAAAAAGCCACTTGTTTGCATTCAAATTTTGAAGTTGCTGTAAATTTCTTCAAAGACAATTCTTGCTTTACAGGTTGGCGTGGAGGGAGACGTTGTACACTGGTGAACAAGGAAAAGAGAGGAATAGGAGCTTTTAAAAATGGAAAACTTTATCTGACGAAAAGGTGCTAACACTTCTATAAACCCAGAGATAGAATTAAAATGTGTCCTGAAGTTATGAAAGCTTATAATATATACATGTCTATATATTATAAAAATATTACATGTTTTTAGCATAACATGAAATTGTTACCCTGGGAAAACAGTTGCTGACCGAGGCAAAGCCAAGGTCAGCAATGGTTTTCAAGCAATAACAATTTCATGTTACTCTAAATAAACATGATATTTTTAGGTCACCTGAGTCACTCAAACTAAGTGCATGATAATGGTGCACAAGATGATTTTTCTAAAATTGTGAAATTCATGGCCCCAGTGTCAGGGGGTTCTGGTGTTAGGGTGGGGCTCTATTGATTATATAGTGAAAATGCATTAATTCTTTGAAAATCTTCTTCTCTGCTCCTGGATATTATATAAACAAACTAAGTGCATGGTTATGATAAGCATTGATGCCTTTTCAAAAATTATGAATTTAATGGCCCCTGGGTTAGGGGTTCTGGTGGTAGGACAGGGCTCTATTGATTATATAGTGAAAGTGCGTTATTTCTTTGAAAATCATCTTCTCTTCTCATGGGTATTATTTAAACAAACTAAGAGCATGGTTATGACAAGCAATGATGCCTTTTCCAAAATTGTGAAATTCATGGCCCCTGGGTCAGGGGTTCTGGAGTTAGGGTGGGGCTCTATTGATTATATAGTGAAAATGCATTAATTCTTTGAAAATCTTCTTCTCTGCTCCTGGGTATTATTTAAACAAACTAAGTGCATGATAATGGTGCACAAGGATGATTTTTCTAAAAATGTGAAATTCATGGCCCCAGGGTCAAGGGTTCTGGTGTTAGGGCGGGGCTCTATTGATTATATAGTGAAAGTGCATTATTTCTTTGAAAATCTTCTTCTCTGCTCCTCGATATTATATAAACAAACTAAGTGCATAGTTATGATAATCATTAATGCCTTTTCAAAAATTGTGAATTTCATGGCTCCTGGGTCAGGGGTTCTGGTGGTAGGGCAGAGATCTATTGATTACATAGTGAAAATGCATTAATACTTTGAAAATCTTCTTCTCTGCTACTGGGTATTATTTAAACAAACTAAGTGCATAGTAATGGTGCACAGGGATGCTTTTTCCAAATTTTTGAAATTCATGGCCCCAGGGTCAAGGGTTCTGGTGCTAGGGCAGGGCTATATAGATCATATAGTGAAAGTGCATTATTTCTTTGAAAAATCTTCTTCTCTACTCCTGGGTATTATTGAAACAAATTGAATACATAGTTATGATAAGTAAGGGTGACTCTACCAAAATTGTGAAATTCATGGCCCCAGAGTCAGGGGTTCTGGTGCTAGGGCGGGGCTAAATAGATCATATAGTGAAAGTGCATTATATCTTTGAAAATCTTCTTCTCTACTCCTTGGTATTATTGAAACAAATTGAATACATAGCTATGATAAGCAAGGGTGACTCTACCAAAATTGTGAAATTCATAGCCCCAAGGTTAGGGGTTCTGGTGCTGGGGGGGGGGGGGGCTCTATTGATAATATAATGAATCTGTAGTAAAAATGCATTATTTCTTTGAAAATCTTCTCTGCACTTGGGCATATCAGAGGCAAAAAGAGTAAAAGTTTTAATAAAGATTTTTGAACATCTTGACCATTTGGTCAAGTGTTCTGATCCTAGCCAGGGCTCTATTCATTCAACTGAGAGGAGTTATTCCCCTTTGCCATTTACTTGTGATAATTAATCACTGTAAATAATGTACTTGAAAGGTTAATAGAATAAGAGAATTATGCAAGATTTTTTAGTGTATAATAGAAAAAGTACTTTTATAGTTTAAATGATCAGGTAGACTTGTAAGTAATAGATAAATAAAAATGAGACAAAAATAACTTATCTTATTAACTGTTCTTCAAAGACCACGAGAGGCCAAAGTGAGAGATATCATCAAGGAATTAAAATAGTACAGAATCACTGATAGTTTGTTAATATACTGTATGGTGATAGTGATAAATGGGAAATAGATTAGAACCTAATTTATGAACTGTTAATGAACACTAGACTAATTATTTTCTTGATCATGATCACCCTATTTTTCTTGCTTTTGGGCAACAAAGCTTCACCTTTCAGTTCATTTTATACTCTATGGATCCTCTAAATTGTTGAATTATACTCAGGTGACCATTAAGGCCCTTGGGCCCTTTGTTGTTCTACTGAATGTATTTAAAAGAAAATGTCATTGTGAACTGTATGCGAAAACATTCTGTGCAGTTAACAGTTTTTAACTGTTACCTGTCATCATGCATTTTCAACCGTTGTTATGTAATGTTATACCCAGAGGTCGTAATTTATGCACGCGGTAGGGTAGTAGTACTTTTTAACATAGGTTTGTAAACCAATCAAATTTGACTATTTTTTAAACCAATCAAATTTGACCATTTAACATAAAATTATAACGAAATATTATATCATTTGTGGGCACAAGTATGAATTTGCTCTGTCATAATTATTACCTTTTGGGATTTTTGTCCACAGCTTCCTTTGTTTTGAAAGAAAACGCAGTCCAACAAAAGAAAACCTGCTTATTCCACTTGTTGATGTAGTGGCCATTAATAAGGTATATAGATTATTGTCCCTTATTCAATTTGCCAATTTGTTGATTGCTATTTCAATAGATATACATGTAAATTACTATTATAATGGACTTTTGTGAGAAGCACTGACTTTTACAGTTGACTGTTTACTTTGACATTTAAACCTGTATCATGTATGGAGGTACAGAATTGATTATCATAATAGTTTGGAAAATATTTCTAGTGCTCATAGGTATGGTGTTAGGGGCACTAACATGTGAAGGCCGGAAGTGAAGGGTAGGGTGATTGTCATTTTCTTCAAGGGCAATTTATTTGTGCTTTGAAATAACCCGTTATTTTCGTTTAATTAAATGTTGACCTAAATATTTATATCGTAGAAGAGCTTCCGTACATTGTCCTAGTGTAAAAGTAAGCCGTCAACTGTAAAAGTCAGCGCTCCTCGCAAAAGTCCATTAAAACTACTATTATTTTTTACTGTACAACTTTTCAGAGCAATTAATAATTGCCATATTCATTGTTTACAAGCCATTTTCAAGAGTATTACCAAACATGAAAATTTTGTCACTTGACAAATAATTTATGATTGAATGGTACCTGTAGCCAAATCTACATAAATATGCATAGAAAAATTATAAGAAATATATACCAAAATATTCTAAAAATATTTTAATCTTAGGAATACCCTGGTAGAGGAAAGCTGGATTGTTGTGTCGAATTAATCAATTATAGCCATCCCCCCCCCCCGCCCCCCCCCCCCCCCCCCCAAAAAAAGAAATCTTCAGGATCATGCTTATTTCAAAAACATTCAGGTGAATTTCATTTAGAAAAAACATACCGTTAAATGTGTTTTTCAGGCTAAACCATATCAGTTTATGTTGGGTTCAGGAATGGCAATAGAAGTGATGGTGAAAGACAAGGTAAGCAACATTTAATACATAAATGAAATATGAAAACAAAATGTGTACGATATGTACCTAACTGCATCGTACGTATCCTATTTGACATCGGAAGTGTGTTTTGTCATCACCCCAGAAGACAAAGCTTGTAAAATATTGATAAGGAAAACAGATGGAGTTCAGAGTTGGGGAATGCAATAATAAGAGGCCCATGGGCCACAACACTCACCTGAGTAACTTTGGCCCTGCTGTATCACAAGATTTTCCCCCAGTAATACTTATTGTGGCCCCACCCTATCCTCGGGGGTCATAATTTGAACAATTTAGAATCTACACTACCTTGAAGGAAGCTTCCATATACATTTCAGTTTTTCTGGCCCAGTGGTTGTTGGGAAAAAGATTTTTCCTATATATTTCAATGTAAAACTTTGATTCCCTATTGTGGCCCCACCCTATCCCCTAGGGCCATGATTTGAGCATTTATAGAATCTACACTACCTCAGAAAGCTTCCACATAAGTTTCATCTTTTTTGGTCCTGTGGTTCTTGAAAAGAAGATTTTTAAAAGAGTTTTCCTATTTATATCAATGTCAAACTTTGATTCCCTATTATTGCCCCACCCTACCCCCTGGGGCCATGATTTGAACAATTTAGAATCTACACTACCTCAGGAGGCTTTCATATAAGTTTCATCTTTTCTGGCCCAGTGGTTCTTGAGAAGAAGATTTTTTAAAGATTTTTCCTATTTATTTCAATGTAAAACTTTGATTCCCTATTGTGGCACCACCTTACCCCCAGGGGCCATGATTTGAACAATTTACAATCTACTCTACCTCAGGAAGCTTCCACATATGTTCCATCTTTTCTGGCCCAGTGGTTCTGGAGAAGATTTTTTAATGTCCCCACCCTATTTTTGTCATTTCTTGATTATCTCCCCTTGGAATGGGGCTTGGTCCTTCATTTTAACAATTTAAACTCATCTTTACCCAAGGAAGATTTGTATCAAGTTTGGTTAAAATTGGCCCAGTGGTTCTTGAAAAGTTGAAAATGTGAAAGGTTTAAGGACGGACAGACGGACGACGGACAACGGGTGATCAGAAAAGCTAACTTGATCTTTCAGCTCGGGTGAGCTAAAAAGTATTTATTGTTAATGTGAAGTATTCAGTGGTATGCTATCTATATAACATTATGTAATAATTACTGCATGTAGTTGAGTGTAACATTGAAAATTTTCACCCCAAGAAAACCATTGTCAACCGAGGCGCAGCTGAGCTGAATGTAAATAATCACGTGCTCCAGATCGGTTATCACCTCATACACACCAACAAAATAGACATTTTATATTTTTTTCACCAAGTAGTACATCATGAAATGTTAACTGATTATAACAAATTCAATCTGATTAAAATCAGGTCCTTTGATCCGCTCACATAGATCGCCACTGTGTAGCGATCTATGTGAGAAGATCAAAGGAACTGATTTTAAGCAGATTGATAACAAATTATAAATGTAAGAAGTAATTTTGACTGACGCAGTAGGTTCATTGCTTTAATGCATTTGTAAATCATGGGGAATATTTTATAATGCTAGAGGGGGGAAAATACACAATTACATGTATATATAATTTATTTACCATGGAATTAAGCAAACAAATGTAATTTGTGTGATATTGGCGTAAACATAATAATTTTAGAGTTTCATATTTGGTGGGATTCTGAGTCGGGATGATGCTTACGATAGCATACAACAACACGGCATTAACAATGAATTGCCATGGGCAACTGGAATACCATTGGATGAGTCGCCTTCGCCACGCCCAGATATCGTAAGATTGACAGAAAATAAACAGAACTTCAGTTTTCCAGCCGAGTATGGTGATTTCGATTAAAATGAACTTTGAAGTGTATAATGGCATTTGTGTATAATGGCATTTTTATGTTGAAAACATAGGCTAGCCATGAAAAGGTTGTTAAATTCTACAAGAAGCACCAGGTTTTGAGAATCATTATTTGTGATTTGTTAGTTGTGATTTACCATGACATCTCTAAAAGTGCCATGCAGATTTATTTCATTTGTTTGCATTTGCAAGATCTTTTGGGGGGGGGGGTGTTATATTTAAAATTATTTTTTTAATCAAGACATAAACTAAAATATAACTTGTGTACAGTGCACTGAATTATATTAAATATTTCATTATGCACAAAAGTCTATTGTTTTTGTACCGCATTCATGCACTGCATATCAATCTTCTGTATATAAAATCTTTTTTATATATTTATATTTTTGTCATAAAACAGTAAATTACCTTAATAAGATCGTCAGTTATTCGGTATTTGTATGTATGAGTGATTAAAATGCAAACAGCAACAAGGCGGCTATCACAGATCTCTGAAATTTACCATTTGTGGTGTTTACATATGTCGTAATGAAACTGGCGCTTTCAAGATGCAATATTTGCTAGAAATTGAGATTATAATTAATTGTATTATCTGAAGTATTTTAAAGACTATTCTTATAATTCTCTTTTTAATAATCTACAATTTTTTTAGCTATGGTAAGGCTTTATTCATACTGATAATTATGGCAAAAACCCAGGGACCGACGTTACATAGATTATTGTTCGCAAAACAACAAAATATGAAGAGATGCAATTTCAATCGTCTAAATTAAATGGAATTTAGAGAATTCAACAAAATTCATTCTTTGTGAAATTTTTGAAATTTCATCAATTTCATGAGCTTAGGCTGAATATGTTGTGATTAAGTAAAGTGTCCAACAGAAATAAATCGTTTCCTAACATTGCCATTACCCGAAATAGCGATGTGTACCTCGGACATAAATGCCAGAAAAAGGTAAAATTTAAAGAATAATCTGAAGTACTTGCATGTTTAACCTTAATTACGAGTCACCATACTGTTACTTCACATGTTTCATTGAAATATTTAAAATATATACTTATACCAATCATTACTTATCTTGAAAGAACATTTAATACTATATGAGATAATATCATAATTTTTACGGTAATGGTCTACGCAAAATAAATACAAGCATCAATGAAAATGTAGCCATTTTTGTTACAGGTACGAAAAACGTCATTTTATACAAGTATTATAATATCCATTTATCTACTCATGCGATTTGTGATACCCGAGAACCAAACTGTTGCCTGAGGCCTTTAGGTCGAATGCAAAAGATTTGCCAAAGGGCTTTGCAAAACGCGTTCGGCTCGAGAACTCGGCCAATTACCTAATTAACTACTATGTTGTCTTGTGAGGAATCTGTCGAACACCAACGAATACATTTGAAAATAGCTGCTAACTCGTGTCTGGATATAGCTGCTGACTCGTGTCTGGATATAGCTGCCGACTCGTGTTCGGATGATTCTGTCTAAGTTGAGGATTTACTATTGCAACCCAAGTGTGACGTAAAAGTTGCTTAAAAACATTGACACCCCCCTCCCAGAAAAAAAGTCCATTCTCGAGGTCGGAAAATTTGTTTCGGGTTAGGGGTAGGTGGTCCAACTATCTATTCAGACAAAAAGAAAACAAATGATCCAAATAAGAGAAATGAAGAGATTCACTTCTATTTATTTCTTTCCATATCTGAATGGACAACATACATAAAAACATGCACAGTATAACGTAAAACGGATACTTTGTATATAATCTCACAACATTGATCCACATGAAAATATTAATACAAATATGAAAACAATACGACATGTATAAAAATACAATATAAATGTACTTCTCAAGTCATTATATTACTACATGTTTAAGCGTTCTCGGAGAACATGATACTGGATTGACTGTACGTTGAAAATTGCGAATTTTCTCTTCAATGCAATTTTCTAAATGAAATATCTAGTTGCTAAGTTTAAATTCATCAAAATATATATTGACAATTGAATGATATCCAGAAACAATGTATACAAGCTGACTCTCTCCTTCATCAGAAACATGAACCCCTTATAACTTTTTAAAATGGACGAGGTAGATAATCTTTAATGTATCAAAAATAAGTATGGACAGTGCCTTACCGTGTAACATACGTTTTACATCCATTGGATTCAGAGTCCGTTTGTAAACTAGACAGTAGCATACACATCAATACATCTCAGACTTACTCAATACACGTACAATCACTAATTTATTACAAAAACAATTTATTTTTTGTTACTAAATTAGGGCAAACATTACAAAGGTAACGAGAAAGCTTACACAATTATGTAATACCTGGTATTGGGGTCCATTTTTACATACTGGTAGAATGTTACAGGAAACGCATTTCAAACATAATCGAAATATAGGTAAAATGACTAAGTCATCTGATCAGATTTCCCTGAAAGAATGAAATCAATACAGCTGATTCATTGAACAGTTACAGATATTAAATAGAGAATAATACATGGCAAAATCTGTATCACACCCCATATCAACCCGAGACTCCAATATCAGCCCGAGGGCCGAAGGCCAGAGGGCTGATATTGGTCGAGGGTTGATATTGGGTGTGATACAGATTTTGTCTTGTATTGTTGTTTTTATTATATATTTGAAAATAGTGTCAAAAAAATCATATATAAACCTGTAAATTAATTAATTCTTAATAATTGAATCTGTTCTTTTTTTCGTTGAATTTCCTTTCTCATTATTTTTTTTCCAAAGGCAATGCATACAGCGATAAGAAATGAAATAATTATTAATTAAACAAATAATTATTTTGAATAGCATAAAATATCTGATGAAAATTTACAATTTAAATATTAGCTTTATAAACAATTAATAGAAAAAGATCCGAGGTACTCCGAATGAAAAATACAGAGATGTTCCGGAAAGGTGTAATAAAGGGTGTGATAAAGGGTAAAATAAAGGGTGCTGATACAGGGTGTGTAATACAGGGCGCGTGCCTATGTTCATATCAGGGGTGCAAAAATCCTGTATTATTGAACAAATATATAATAAAATACAATAAAATACTACTTCTTTCGTGGGCGGAAGCTTCATTTGTCTATTTTTGGCAAGATTTTTGCATTGAATTAATTTTCTAAAAAATAAGAAAATAAGTGGAGAAGATTTTTAATATTTAAACTAAATAATGTTGCTTAATGTAAAATATACAGACTTGTAGGAACAGATAAAATTGCAGATTAATTTTTTTTCTATCCCTCATTTAAATAATAATATCAGTTATATAAAATAATTACAATTTAGAATTTTATGGTACCGATTCTTTCTTTGAGGGGAGATCGTCTGTCTTTGATCCAAAAATATATACAGATGCTTATTTCTTAGGAAAAAAAATGTCAGACAAGTAAAAGTTCTTATCAGATAACAACCTAATTATAAAAAATATTAATATTATAAGGCTATAAGATTCTATATCTTCTTATTTACTCTCGTTGTTCTTAGCGACTTGAGCAAAGTCTGTAATCTCATTCCGCAGAAAAGCAATACCCTTCCTACATTACAGGAGGAAAATTCATTAAAATGTAAAGCACAGCGGCTTAGAACAACGACTTCTACAACAGCACCTGGTACTCTTCTGTGGAATAAATACAGAACGCACTTCTGGAAATATAAGCTCTGTGGTTGTCCATGGTTATTGTCTGAAGTCTGCATGACAACTTTTTCATTGACTGAATACAGAATAATGCTTGAAAACAGAAATTGTTACAAGTACCTTGAATTAACATATTAAAAATTTTTCAGCTTGCTTTCTTTTAAAATTAGGTCAAGTAACATTTCAAAGTACATTGTTCGCCAAATCAGTGTATAAATTTTGTAATCCATGTCTGTAACATTTACACAACACAACATTACGGGCAGCTGTGTGCAACCTCTAGAGCTCGGCAGCCATCAGTGCGGCTATTGTTTTCTGCTTTTGATCATTTGGAGGGGTGCCTGAGAGCCCGGGGGTAAAGTTTCTAACACTCCTCCGCAATTGGAGCCTTTTCCTCATCTGTTCCTTCTGTCACGGCGTTGTCGCCATTTGATGCTTTCAGTTTAATCGGTTCCTCCCCCTGTTATATAAATTTAAAAAGTTGTTTTCTAATAATTTTTTAAGACGAGTATTCAATTCTTTTTTGTAATGTAAAGAGATCAGAACTATATCACACTGGATATACACACATTTACCATGTTTAAGTCTTAAACATCCTCAATCATCGGTTTTCATCAAATGCTGCACTATGAATGATATATATTTTTTTATTTTTACATTATTTATCAACTTAAAATATGCTTGGCAAAAGTGAATATGTATGAGGAACTCACCTGCAATTAAAAAAACAAAACCAAAAAAGTTGCATTCTTCTAAACTCTATTGTATAAATTAATCCCCAACCCACCCACAAACAACACTTTTCAATATCAAACTCTCACCTTTGATTTTTTGTTCGCCCTGTAAACCTCTATTAGCAGCATGAGGATCCCCACAATGATACCCAAAAGAAGCAAAATGAAGGCTATAGACAAGTCAATAGTATTTAGAGGACGCGCAGGTGTCAACAAAGTCACTTCCGGTTTATTCAAGTAATCGCTGAGTGACCCTACATTGCAGTCACTTGGCCACCATTTTTGCCGAAATTCTTTCAGTGGTAGTTTGCTAATGCTCTTTGACAATTCTTCACAAAGAGAAACATTATTACAAGCAATAGCTTGATCTGTCGGTTGTACTTTCTCTCCCACCACCATTACACTACAGTCTCGTCCCGCGAATCTCTCGGCCACGTGATCTTCCATGATGGCGGCAAAGGATCCCTCTGACGCTTTAACTTTCTGATAGCCTTCATCGTCTGTTTCAAACAAATTATCTTGCTCAGATCTTGAAATGTAATATAAACGGTTTAATACTGGATCTTTGCTAAGTTTTAAAAAATTGTCCCACGACTTTGTTCCGTAGGCGACTTCAGATTGCAATTCCATTTGATGAAATGTCTTAAAAGGGAGAACGGGTTTTCTTGGGGCACTGGTTATCAAAAACGAACCAAGATTTGCAATGTAGGCAGTGATCATAAACAACACGAAGCTCATCCACATGGAAGTCAGAAAACGACCTCCTGGTGACCTGGGAACTTCCTTGAAACCTACAAAAATATGTAACTCAATGTTAAAAGGTGAGGTTTTCCTTCGACGTTTTATTTATACTGAAGCATAGTTTATATATAATCTAGATGGATTATTTCTAGGTATCTAAGACAAACCTTGCCAGCACACGGTACTATGAACAAAGAACAGGGCGTTGTTGATGGTAAAGCTATCTTTACTGTTAGTCTTGTCCTCAGCTTCCGGTATTTTGCTCCATTCAGACGGACTGAATTTGTTAATGATGGTCAAAAGGATTCCCGTTATCATACAGACCACCATTAACATTATCCAAACATCGGCACTACAATCAATACAAAAAATGAATAGAATTATAAAACAAATTGCGTTTCTGAAACGCATACAAATGTAATTGTGCCTCGAAGCATTGCTCTGTTGTTACGTGGACAATCGCTGGGCAAACTGAAACATTGAAAATTGCATGAAGTCAGCTATTATGTAGATTTCCGATATCCTTATGCGTTGATTTACAGTCATGACACATCCTATAATATAAGCAACCTTTGAAAAGTCTATCACGTGTACAAAATTATGGCATACATTTTACAGACCAGATTTTACAGGTCATCTTGTCGTTATGAACTTCAGGGTCAGGTGCACAATGGACGTAAGCAGCCGATGAATCAAATCTTCCGGTTATACTTTGACCAGATATGCATTTCTTTTGTTGTAACTTTGATCTCGCTAATTTATCTTATGTAGTTGTCATAATTTTTACACTCTTATCTTGAGCTATCTTTATGGCACGTACATGTATGAGTTTCTAATATGTTTTAATTACAAAGGTGTGAAGTTTTCATTTAAGGCTCGTGTTAGCGATTTTGGAAGCGAAGGGAACCAACGATAGTGTGGAGGGATGGCGCTTGGGATTGGTGATGGATCATAATAAAATATAGACAGACAATGAGACAGAATTAAGACTATATTCAGGCCATATATGTCCACCACGAATATCGTTTGAGATTGGGACTTGTGAAAGAATACTAAATAAGTTGTAAAGTGCTGCAACGCATAAGTAATTTCAAATCTAACTTAACCAGTCGTTGAATAATATGACTACAAATAAGAATTTTTATGTCTTAGTTGAGCAGGTAAATCTAACATAAAATTCCATGTTTTCTGTGAATTGAGGGCTGGCTAGCGATATTGGACTGTTTTAACAGCTAGTAAACGTTTTTTGAGAGGGTCATTTGGTAAAAAATGTACCACACAAGAAGAAAAACAAAATTCTAAGGATTTAATGTCAAGTATATAGAGCGGATTACACTTAGACTGCTCCAGAGCTTTGTTTAGACAGCGTAAGTATATTTCAAGGTCTCGGTGTTTGTGAATTATGGACAGAAGCACAAGTATTCTGGATCTTAGATAAAATAATCTTTATCAATAAAATAGCATTTTCCAGACCGTGTGTTAAGGACATAGGTTCTCAGTAAAACACTTGATATTGACGGGAAATGTGTAAACAGTGGGCGAAATGTCTGCAGGGTTAGACATTTGAAGCCAGTTATGTCAGATGCAAGGTAATAAAGCGTAGGCAGCTTCCTGATTGTTTATATAGAGGACAAGGAGAGCAGAGAGCAGCAGCAGAGTTTCTGTCAGTAAATGAAATGCTCACATCATATGTATGAATTACCTTTAATGCTTGAAATGTGAAGCCAATACAGAACTCTACAGCTGATGTTTATAAAAACAATCAATAACCCTTACGCAAAATGAGGAAAAAACATCAACAATGAATGAAGAAAAAACACATTTGAAGTAATTTTGTCCGTAACAATTGTTTGTATTTTGCATTGGTTGTGGTTATAATTAAAGGGTGCAAAGGATCAGACGAAGCACAGTATAATGAGTATTTCACGCCAAAGTCACAATACTGATCTACATGTATTCAAATCCTCTTTTAATGAACAGCTATAAAATGCACAAATATCTGTACGATTTCCATGACTTCGGATTTACCTGAATGGTTGAAAGAGAACCGCTAGCCCGCTGTAGGGAGGGACTTGTGGCTTCCAGACCAGAATTCTATGGCTGCTGTGAAAGATGGGTCTGGTAAAGGCTACATCCTCTTTCCGCTTGTCTGTCACAGTCAGATCGGCTGCCACTAAATCAGCTTTCTTAGAACATAAGAGCATTATGTCTGTTTAAACATGAAAACAACTGAAGTCACAGAAAAATTCAATTCAATTTTACATTTTCATTATCATAATCATGACTCAACACCTGATGGTTTTAAACTATGATTCTCAGACATATTTTCAACATCATTACTCTAGAGACCATAAAGGCGTTTACATGAAAGAGATATTTAGCATTGCTTTGAAATAGCATATATGAAACCCGCAAAAATAAGATATAAAACAGAATGAATAGAGGCCTGGGGGCCACAATGCTGACATGTCAACATTCTCTTTTGTACTTGTAAATACCCGTTAAATGAAACCCTTTGTTGACGTTCATGATTTCAACAAATTTAACTTACCGTAAATGTAGACTTCAAATAAATTGAATAGATTATAGCATTCCTTCTGTTGCAAATGTGTAAAAATTTCTAAATAAAACTTTATTTGCCAATGGTGTTCCCGAGGCCATGCTTCCAGCAAACTACACTTATGCTTACATATTAAAAATATGACTAACATATTAAAAATATGACTACTTGTAATTCTGCTGTCTGTTTTATTTTTTGAAGCAGATGTTTCTTATCATTCCTATGTAAAATTCTGACCCAGTCTTTAGGCCCATTCCTCGTCCCATAATAACAAATCTCTATCTACACTTAATGAAAAAAAAATGTGAAAAGATTACAGACGGACGGACAGTTAGACAGACCGAGACAGACGCCGGACAACAGGTGATCAGAAAAGCTCACTTGAGCTTTAAAACATCCATCAAATAAACTTTTGGTCTGACAAGCCTCCTTAAAATACATAAATTTGGCCCTTTGTTGTGGCCCCATCCAACACCCTTGGTCATGATTTGAACAAATTTGAATCTATGCTACGTGAAGATGCTTTCATATAAGTTTTATCTTTTCTTGCCCATTGTTTTTGAGAAGATTTTTACATGACATCCACTCTATTTTCAATATTTCTTAATTATCCCCCTTTCAAATGGTGTTACCTTCCATTTGAATAAACTTGAAGCCCCGTCACCCAGGGATGCTTTGTAGCAAGTTTGGTTGATATTGGCCTTGTCCTGGAGAATAGATGAAAGTACGTGTAAGAGTTTCTATACATGCATACTAAGGATTAACTTCAACAACTTCCCACCTTAGTAACGAGAAGTCCCATCATGCCACTCCAGTCCCCTTTGGCATCCTTCATCCCATAAATACCGTCTGGTTCTGGTTGGATTGAGTATGTAAAGTTTTCAGACTTTGACAGAGCATTTAGTACATCTACCATGTAGCCCTCATACTTCCCAGGAGAGCCGCTAACTTCCATCAAAAACGGGGGTCTCTAAAATAAAAGAATGTTTATACTGTTTGACTTATTATCGACAAACGACGCTGTAATAAATCACACTCAAAAACTCAGTATGCTTTAAGTGAGAACAAAAGTAATATCAATTTAAAGTGATATAAGAAGAGAGATAATAATATTGGGTCTCTACAGTTACCTTAGCATCATGGGTTTAAGGCCGGAATACAGAGGAAGTCTTGCCATATACTAGTATTACTACGTAGTAAGACTTAAAACTTAAGTTTTTAAAAGTTGAACGACTGTCCTGTCAACATGCACTCTTAGGCAAGCCTTACATGATTATAACGGACTTCCATAAATCTAAAACAGTGCATTCAGTTATCAAAATTGAAGATATAGCTAGTAGGGCGTAGGCAATATTTAACTGATCAGCGGATTCACACTTTTTAAAAAGAGGGAGTGGCTGAACAGATGCGTTTGAAAATACGGCGATTATTGTTGGATTTTTCGATTGTTTATTTCAATCAACCCACGTGTACTGTTAAATGAAATTCGGTTCACAGATGGGTGAATGGTTTTCTTTGGTTAAGAGGAAAAGGTTACCGAAGTCTTTTATTAAGAAATATAGCTGTGCTCTATTCGTAAGTTCAATGTTGCAGGTTGCACTACAGTATTAAATTTTGCTATATATTCTTTCCAAAAAATGCACAATTTTGATTAGGCAATCTTAATTCAAAACAAACTTTTGAGAGGTTTCCTTTTCAGATCTTATAAAGCAGGGTTTTTTTTTTTATAAAACATTTTTGTACCAAAACAAGAGGTCCATGGGGCACAATCCTCACCCGGGTGACTTTGTCCTTGCTACTCTTCATTAGATATATTTTTTAATTTCCCCCTTTACTTACTATCATAAAAAATTTTGACTAAAATCTAGCTCCGAAGGGAGCTATGACTTTTAAATAAAGTTGAATCCACACAACAGAAGAATTTTTCCTATACTTTCCTGATTGCTTAATGTGGTCCTAACCCTAACCCCGGGGCTTATGATTTGAACAAATTTGAATCCACATTATGCTTGCTTATGTAATGAATAATCATGGCTTTGTTGTGATTTTAGATTAGTAAAGATTTTTTCCAAAATACTGCGATGTGAAACTTTTATCGTCTATTTTGAATCCCCCCCTCCCCCCCGCCCTGCCTCAGGGTCATGATTTGTAAACTACCTGAGGATGCTCCCATATTAATATGACAAATCATGGCTTAGTTGTTTTTGAAAAGAAGTTTTTTAAAAAAAAAAATCTTAATATTCTTATCCAAAACTTTGAACACCTGTTGTGGCCCCAACCTACTCATTATTCCCATGTTAAACTTTGATCGCCGAATGTGGCCCCAACCTACCCGTGGGGGTAATGGTTTTAACAAATCTTAATCTGCACTACCTGAGGATGCTTCCATATTCACATGCCTAGTCAGGGCTTTTCTGTACTTGAGAAGAAGATTTTTAAGATATTTATGCCCCGCCATGAATATGGCCGGAGCATATACATGTAATAGTGTTTATCATGTCTGTCCTCCGTCCCTCCGCCCTTCTGTCCTTCCATCACACTTTGCGTTTAGTTATTTTTATCAAACTTCATATGGTGATAAATATTTATGAGAGCTATACAGCCTCATTAATAGTTTTTGAACTTGATCTTTTCTTTGACCTTGACCTCACTTTTCTTAAATTTGTGTTAAGCTAAGTTTTAAAGCACAGACACAACTCGACCACAATTCGTCCTTTAATAGTACATTCAAGTCCAAATTACAACTTCTGAATGAGTTAGCAACACGAGGTGGATCTGGTACATGTAATTAGCTTTACATGAAATCCAGGAATCCAGTGAAGGTAGGGTAGATCAAACTCACCTTTGTTGACTGGAATATTAAAAGTATTAAAGACTGAAATGTGATTTTGAAGAATTTCATTCTTAGAAAGTAAGCTGTGAGTATAAGTAGGATCTAATTAAGAGCGGGCTCAACCTGACTACGGACAGGCTTCGACTGCTTGGAAATGGCAAATTTACTCGATCTTAACTTGAAATGAATTGATTGTGGTCGGGGAACAGACGAAATGGGCGTATTAAGGACTGTTTGTGAAGAAACTATGATCGTAATTGTAGACATATTGTGTGAAAACTTACACATTCAACCCCCGAAACACAAGCCGTTTAATAATTCTAAAGTATGGAATAAGTCGTTCTGAAAACAAGTTTGGTGTGATGGGGCTGTCACACGCGGTAGCACTAGAAGTTAAGTTCCATGACTTATAAGGCGAACCTTAACGCGTGTACCAACATCTAAGTTTTGATAAACTCAGCCCTAAATGAAACTTTTAAATCATATGACATGACTTTTACAAGGGGTTTTAACCCTCCATAACTTACTTCCATCAGTCATATAGTCTGCTTGTATTCATGCTAAATGTACTGGAATAACTAAGATATTCAAAGACACACTACATAAAAATTGTATAAGAATTGTTTAGTATATTAACCAGCTCAGCCCCAACCTGATATCTGAACTCTAGATACAGTGCTCAAGGACATGCATTACTCAGCTGTGGTAGGGGGCTAACATACAACCAATTTGCCTACTAGATATTCGTAAGATTTTAAAATATGCAATGAATAGCTAAGTCCAACTGCAGGGCCAGAACAGTCATTCTACTACGTACAGGACTGACTGCTCTTTATACAAATAATGCAGAAATAGATTATTGAATATTTCATGAATTTATGAATGACAATGGGCCCATCTTTCAGCCGCTTTGATTGTGAAACTCTCCTTTTTCAACCTTAGCAATAGATACTACATAGCAAATTTGGATGAAATCGGTTCAGCCATTTCACAGAAACAAAAATACGACGAGATAGCAATACGTAACCTTGGTTACACTGGTGACTTTTAATCACAATTTAACGGTACATGCATAGGATTTTCGTTTGTTTAAATTTACAGAAACAAGGGCGCTTGTCATAGGCTCTTTTATCAGTTTATTGAACATAGGCGTTTCTTATGCCTACACTGTGTAGCATTATGTTGGCAAGATAGAATAAAACAAAGGTGTATTGCTAGCGAAATGAGACGTGTAGGCCACCGTTCTCCACAAAAACTCTGTGCCATCCTTGCAAATGGATAGATGTGATAAGAAGTAAGAAAAAATAAACTCAACAAATTATGAATTTGGAGCCCTCTGTGCTTGCATCAAATTTCGGCGATATATTTTTTTCGTGTTTTAATGCAATCGTTTTTATTAAACGCACAATTAATTTAAACATTAACCAGCAGTGCTTTATCTTACAACTAAGAAAATAACGTTTTTCAAATTACTGAAAAATGTCTCATAACTCCCACACATAGATTTTTTAAAAATTCTCAAACGTGTGAAAGAGATTTTTTTATTACCTTTGACTTCGGAATATAGTGCATCTCTTTTTCTGTCCGTCATTCCTACGAAATTTTATCGAGTGCATTAGTGTCTTGAACATGTTGAAAGGCAAAAGACAAGTACAACGGGTTTATAGCTGAACGGTCAAGTTTTTCCCAATCCGCAGTAAAAGATGCCATTTAGCACCCTAAGAATTAGAGTACAGGAAGCAATTAATGTGCTCATTACTTCCTCCCACCCTTTTTTTAATGCCAAGTTCCTTAAATTTTTAATTGTTGCGTTACTTCGAGATAGCCTGCGACAGATACTGCAACAGCTGTGACTTTTTACAATGAGAAATAAAGAGAGTTGGATAAAATCGGTAACCATGCATATCCTAAGAAACCTATACATGTACATGTATTAATTCAATTGAAGCACAAGTGCGTTATTTCAACATCCCGATATATACGTAGGCTTACCAAAATTGACGTGATCTTCAGTTCCCTCCCCTGAAAAAAAAAAGAAAATGTAAAATATTAAAATTGAATGTTTAATGCCTAAGTTTTCTTCCCTCTTTTCGTTTCTTTTCGTTCTTCTTTTTTTTTCAAAAAGTATTAAAATTTAATAACTTTTCAAATTTTCGTTTACGTACATGCATCTTTAACATTTTATACATTTTCATTCTGTAAATATTAAGTACATGCAAATAAAACAAATTTGCAATGCTCTCGGTCGAGAATTAGGTGTTAATGTTAGAAAATTCCTCAAAATACCCATGATATTTTTCAGTTCTGTCAGAGCTCTGCATGGCCATTGAAACAAATCGTAACAGTATTTTAGCCATTTTAAGGGTCACTGACTGCTTTTAATCGCTTTTTAAGCAAAATACAACATCTCCCAGGGGTGTTAGAAGGGTCGTCCGCTGGCTTTCTGTTTTTATTATATTACAAACAAAACAAAAATAACAGTAAACCAGATGGCTAAACAGTGGGGGTTTTCCTGACAGGCCACATTCTGATTTCGGCCAGGCTAAGGGCGCAGGGGTTAAACATTTTTAAGTTCAAAAGTTTAAACTTTTTATCAAGCGAGACTGCAAGGAATCTCATAAATGATTTTACCATTAACACTTTTTGACAAAAACAAATACTTTTTTTAATTTGTTAATATTTAATATCATTTCTTAAGAAATCATTTGTGTATTTGGATATATATTAAGTATTGAATGCCAAGTATTCGGTAACACAACTTATATGAAGCACAGGAAGAGATTGGTTCAGTTCAGGTGCACATTTTTTTTTTAATAATAACGATCCCTCCCTTCCCCCACCCCTTTGGACCGACGAGAGACAAAATGATCCATGTTTGTTGCTTTGCTCTGCAAACAATACAGGAATATAAAACGTACCAATCTATACATAACTGTCTTTAATTAAAAAGCTTTGCATAAATCGTTTTAACACTTCGTGTTAGATATATGTATAAGATGACTCCCGTCTCTTTGGCATTTTTTTTTGATCCATGTTTATTTTGCTTACTAATATGACAAATTATAACCTCCGTCGTGTTCGAGTACTTACGTCATCCATTTCTAAGAAATCTTTAATTATATACTGTCAGTTATCAAGTCTCAGATTATACATATTAGGTACATAAATATATTTCAATCAAGGACATCTACATAAGAATCATGCGCTATTACAGGAATATTTTTGTTTAACGGCTTACATAAAAAGATCAATCTTGAGTAATTCTACACTTACATTTGTCAGTAATGTATTGCTATGCAAGTTCTTCTTTATCATAGATTACATTTTAATAAATATGAATATATATATATATATATATATATATATATATATATATATATATATATATATATATATATATATGTTTGCTGTGTTCCCTTTGTTGACATTTTAAGGTTATAGTTGGGTTTTTTTTTCTGATTCTTATTCCATTGTTTCTGGTTTCGTGTTTTTAACGGTGCCATTTTACATTCCAGCATTGAAAATGAAATCTAAGTCACTGTTGTGTTCACTCATTTTGAAGAAAGAACGAGCGAAGCCAACGATAGAATAGCTGATAAGACATTGTACAGTAAGCAGGCTTCTCCCACTTACCATTTTCTTCTTTTTACTTCTAACATGAGGCATCGAATAAAAGAACTCTAAAGTTACAAAGCACTTGAATAAGCAAAGATACATCAAATAAATTACGTGTACTACTATTGGGCTCTGTTAATCTTCGACTGTTAAAAACAATTTTGATTCCATATTTATAAGCACTTGCAGTTTGACCGCCATTCTTGTCTGCATGTGATGTTATTAAAGACGTTAATTTACATATCGTTTTTTACTAATTCTAAATATTCTTTCTACAGGGTTTCTCTAAAGCTTTTTTCGGGAATCCTGGCTGTCCAGTATGCTATGCTCAAGTGTAAATACTGTATACCTATCTAGATAAAAGACAATTATCTTAACACTATAACTTATAAGAGTAATTATCATTAAAAACACTATTTACGATATTTATTTAAAGATAGAAATTATTATGTCAAATGAGTATCCCTTTTTATTTTACAGTATATGCCATATTTCCTTCACTATTTCAGATTTTCAGAAAATTACACAACCTTATCTTTTTCACTTAAATAAATTAATTTCGTGTAAATCAGGAGTTGCTGTACATATGCTGACCGACTTATCCAAAAAAAAAAAAAAAAAAAAAAAAATGCGGAAATTGTGTTTGTAGGGGGTGGGGGTTAGTCGCGATGGTTAGAAAGTTACATATATCACCCTCTCCACTGCGGGTTGCTTTACCAACGTCCCAGTTTTCATGTCATTTATCCATGCCTTGGCCCTATTTATGAAAAGTCACGAATTAACTACCGGTGAGAGGTCTTCGTATCCGATGGTTATCCTTTACTTGAACCAAAAATTCAAAAGAAGAAAAGAACGCCCCAGAATTTTTTCTTTGTCCTGCATACAATGATTTTTACAGATGGTTAAAAACAGTGTATCAATATAGGCCAATCAGAATCCCCCTTCCGCTGAAGATGTTAGCCACAGCAAAACTATTTCCTTGTTTAGGTCCTCGTGGCACCTGTTAAGGTTTGAAATAATAATCAGGTGAAGAAATCAAACCTTCTCATTGTTTCAAGTGAAGTTTGCTGTATTCGACTCAATTTTTCACCCACTGAAGGGTTAAGATCACTTTGTAATGTCCTGATCACTGGGCACCTGCCCAGTAACTTGTTCAGTGGTTATTACAAACATGTGCATCTGTAAGCTTAGCGGATGTATATTTTTCACTGAACTTATACATGTATATTTGTGAATAACACTAAATGAATGATTTGTTTAATATCTTTAAATATAAAATACGTAGATATACGGCAAAAGTGAAGCACATGTCATTACTTGATGAAAAAGATTATTGACTGCTTAGTTATTCTGTGAACTTTAGTATCCAAGATATTTGATTCACACTTATATTAATGGATTACAGCTAGGGTATGAAACTGACACATTTCTTAAATCATAAAAATCTTGATTATTCCATAATTAAAATCTTTATCCTGGAACCAGACAAAACTTAATTTCATATCTGATACATATATTCCAACTTATAATAATAACAATAATGCTTTATTTAGAGAAAATAAATACGGAACTGACATACTCCTAAATTATACACAGTAGGAAAAAATTTTAGTAAGCACGTAAGAAAAAAATTAGATAGCAAATAAGCTATACTGGAAAGGCTACGGAAGTGTTTATGGAACTTTAGACATCCAAGTATACATTAAAACATATTTCGGGACTCATTTACATAAGATTTTCACCCCACCCGCCCTTACTTCTCTCCACGAAATTTTGTAAAAATTCCACACATCCACAGAAATAGTTAGTTCTATAAGTTACCAAAATTCAGTCGTATGATATCCTATTGGCTGCATGATACTGACATCAGAGAGAAACACCATTTAATTACATTCATAACTGTTAGGTTTTCCTCACTGATGCTGAAAACACCCCGGTTACCATGTGTTTCATCAGTTATCATTTCTACAATACATAGTCATATCTTAGATACAGATATACTGTCAGCAAGTGAAAACAAAATGAGATCTCTATTTTGGTTCGAAAAAAAAATATTTGAAAAAAAAAATGGTTAAGTGTATTTCTTCGTGTTCCTATGCATTTTACAAGTAAACACAGCGGCATAGTGGACAGAAAAATTCCATAATTCTTGTCTTTTGCCATATTTGACATACATAAAAAAAGAAATCAGTGACAGGTGACATTGCAGTGTATTTTTAAAGTATTTTACAGACTTATCAGAAATTCTTGTATCCCTTTAGACTATACGTAAATCTCTAAGATTAATTTAAAAAAAAAAACAACAACAAAACTCCGTAATCACCGAAATAAGGATTTTTCTTCCTTCAGATTTAAGCACTATATAATTATCATGGTTACCGTGCATTCCAATAAAAATTGACATTTGTCATACTTCAACAAATATATTTATTTTGATTACTAAATACGAACAGTATGCAGCAGACATATATTGATTTGTTCAACAAGCAATTCAGTATTTTATAACCATCAAAATGAATAAACACATTTATTGCTTTCGTTAGTTAAATATTTTACCTTTGACTCAATATGATTATATGATATGTATAGAACAGTTATTTTATGTACGGTCGAGGTGACAACTGGGTTGTTATTTTCAAATAGATCAAGAATTTGCACTCTATATATCCCCTAACATCATTATAATTTTTCATTACAAAATCTCGTACGAGTGACAACCGGTTTCCTTTTTATAAAATTTCTTCGACTTCTGGTATAACTACATGAGATTATATCGTTTTATTTACTTGCTGTTCTGTTTAAAAACACACGTGTTTCTTTACAACACCATCGGTCAAGAGGTCATATTAATAATAACCATTTCTCAAGTTGACCGCTCTCGATCGTTTCATCATTCATTATAAATCATTAATAAAACAAAACCTTTTAATGACATCGTGGCACAGTATTCATTTCATTAGGCTAGTGATGTTCTATAATGTTTATTTCAAATTGTTGATTACTTACCCATGTAAATATCACTATGTCCAAACATAAACAAACATAGATTGCACGCATTCTCCCTAGTTCCTGATTGTGACCTGGTCAAATCAACGCCGCTGTCCAGTTGACCAACTGTCTCGCCGCCTCCCACGAATTCTAGGTCAAACAGGGGCGTTATTTTAAATTTTGGATGGCATCAGTCGATGTCAACTTAACCACAGGCATCTAAACAAGATTCTGTATCGGAGAAAGGAAACCACGGGTTTTTATACTACAGTACGATTCAAAGGCAGCTCTGCGCACCTGCGCGGATATTCGCAGCCATGAGCTTGCAATTGATTAAAGACGTTGAGATTTCTAACGTGTGTGCATTGTATGTGTGAAAATAGAAATATTTTCATGACGTATTACAAGACAAAATTATTGATTGTAAAACCGATCAGGTAATTTAACTGTAATCATATTGGAGAGATACATTATATAATAGTTTATTTCCAGACTTTTCACGATTTTGATATTTGACGTGCCAGGAAAAATTTTTCAAGCATATGAAAATTGTGAAAAAAAAGCCTAGAAAACATTACACATTTCGGACTAGAGAGACATATGCATGCAATGGAAACCTATCACTCCTCCAGGGATGAAGTTGCTCACTGAAAGGTTATATATAATCTAGAAAAAACAACTATATTGAATGGAACCACATCAGTTTGGAAAATGAAATATCGTAGTTAACATAAAGAATTTTTATTTCGTTCAAATAAATTTAAAGGACTGTCTGTCCATCTTATCTGTCTGTCTGTCAAGTAACCATCTGCTTCTCTCTCTCTTTCTCTCTCTCATTTTTTTCTCTCCCTTACTAGTTATCTTTTAACAAAATAAACATGAATGGTTTTAATATAAGTCCACGATAGTTAAATGTTAGCTGCAGCTCTGTATCTCACTGGTCTGGAAATAAAATGGAATGAATGACCAGAGAGCTATAAAATATACTAATACACGCGACCTTATTGGTGAATATGAAAATTTATTTTTCTCCACTGGACTAAAAATAGATTGGGGACTTCTAAATTGATAAAATTAGCTATGAAAAGTAATTTCATCTTCACTTGACCTCAACATGCACTCAGGTGTCCACCGTCAACATAACATCCGGGTAAGTATATTATTGGAGGAGTAGGAGGGGTCCTGCTCGCACTTCTTTTTTAAATGTAAATTTTACTGTTCAGTATTAAAATGTTCATTAAAAGGTGCCCCTCCCCGATTTTTTGATCCAGAATTATCAAACCCCTCCTAAATTCATGGACCCTAACCCCAACCCCCTATATAAGATTCTGGAGTTTGGAGAATTAATTCTCCCCTTTTTTGGCTTGTCAAAGATTTTTGTTCAAGTTAGTTGACATCTCCTACTCCCCCCCCCCCCCCATCCCCACCATGTACCAGGTATTTCTTTCTTCTTTTTTTTTTAAATAGATTAAGAAATGCCAAATTATTGCAACTGGTTTTGTTTATTTTAACCACGCTTTATTTTATTGCATCTGGCTATATGACTTCAACAAATGTTAAAATACGTTATATTTCCATTAGGGAACTCTTCAAAATTAGAGGCGCGTTTGGTCGTCTGACTGGGACAGCATTGCGTGGCGGATAATACAAAACATGCAAATCTCAATGCAATTTTAAATGTTAAATGTATTTGTCATTCCCATTAAAGAACAGAAGAACTAAAAGACATATGTAAGAGAGCGAGAACCCTAAATTTATCATCCATTAATAAAAAATACGACATTTCCGAGGCATGTATATTGTATTTAGATGTACCATACGATAAATAGATATATACGATCAACAATAGATATAAATTGATATCGTTGTCATTCCTGCTCTTGATGTATATAAAATCCACAACAATAAAATATTTCATTTGCATTTTCTTAGGAACTGTTCTAGTGTTCATCGACATTCAACATATTGTTTACATGTTTATGTTACGTTTGTCCCAGAAATCCCGCGAGATTTGTACGTTTTCCGACTTTTTCACAAAAGAGCGCACTAAGAAGTATAACTCTTCCATAGTGGAAATAGAACGTATTGAAAAGATATCATGGTTTGCATAACGAGTTTGTATCTTTTAATCATTAAATCTTATGATGAAATAATTATTGCTGGGGGTTTTTCCTGGTCAATACTATGATTTAGCCACCCTCAAAGTACAATATTAACCTCGCCCTTCGGGCTCGATGAATATTGTACTCCTTGGGTGGCTAAATCACCGTATTGACCTCAAAAACGCACAAATGTACAATTCATAACTTCAGCATGCAATAAATGTCACACTCTGCAAATGATCGAGGCATCAATTTGGAGTTATGAAATGAACTTGTTTAATACGATTTTGAAATATTAGAATACATAACAGTACTTTAACAGTACTGATCAGGTAATCAAAACCAAAGAGCGTTTTTCTTGAAGGATAAAGGGGCTGGGTTACAATTAATACATTAATCTAAATGATACTGGAGGTACTAGTACCTACAGGATTGGGGGCTTTAATCGATTAATATAGCATTTCTATAAATGTTTTTTTAAAAATAAATCTTTCCTCCTCATTGTCCCCCCTCCTCCCGCTTTCCATCAAAAATAGCTAGGCCGTTGTCGTTTTGAAATTTTTAGTTCCTGAGTTATTCCCCTGGACATACATGAGTTAACCTTCTTTGTTCATACTTCAAAATGTGTCATATCCCGCCTTCATTGCTGATAAGTTAGCAAGTCGCTTCTTCTTTTTGATCCCTAAGCTCTTTAGCTCTCACCTGAGCCGAAGGCTCAAGTGATCTTTTCTTATCAAAGAGTGTCCGGCGTCCATCTGTCGTCCGGCGTCTGTAAATTTTTCACATTTTCGACTTCTTCTCCAGAACCACTGGGTCAGTTTCAACCAAACTTGCCACAAAGCATTCTTTGGTAAAGGGGATTGAAGTTTGTTCACAGGAAGTGCCACGCCCTCTTTCAAGGGGAGATGATTAAGAATTCGTGAAAATTTGGTGGCATCTTTTAAAAATCTTCTTCTCAAGAACCACTGGGCAAAAAAAGATGAAACTTGGGTGAAAGCTTCATTACATGCTTAGATTCAAGTTTGATCATATCATAACCCCCAGGGGTAGGACGGGGCAACAAGAGAGGGGCAAAGTTTTACATAGGACGATATAGGAAATGTCTTCAAAATCTTCTCGAAGAACAGCAAAGCCATGATTAATCATATTATTATAGACGTATCCTCAGTATTGTAGATTCAAGTTTGCTCCAATCATGACCCTCGGGGTAGGGCAGGGCCACAGCCGGGGGACAAAGTTTACCATAGGAATATATAGGAAATATCTTTAAAATCTTCTTCTCAAGAGCAGCTAAGCCATTATTAGTCATATCAATAGAGAAGTATCATCATGTAGATTCAAGTTTGTTCAAATCATGACCCCTGGGTGTTGGACGTAAACACAACAGGGGACCAAAGATTGATGTAGGAATACGCTGTATATAGCAAATATCTTTAAAAATTTCCTTCTTAAGAACAGCTAAGCCATTATTAGTCATATTAATTCAATTTTGTTCAAATCATGAGCCCCGGGGGTAGGGCGGTGCCACAACAGTGGGTCAAAGTTCTACATAGGAATATATAGGTGTAATGGTTAAGGGACATTTGCGTAAAACGCATTGAAGACTTCAAACAGTGGAATGACCTGACATCCTTGGAATGGACCAGCCACAGGGTACTGAGTATAAAAGGCAAAACTTCCGAAAGTCAGGCATTCAAAAGTTAGGAGAAGAAGTTGGCCGTTGAATCAGCAATAAAGAAATTAAGGGTAAGAGGAAAATAAAAGTTTAAAAGTTATAAGCGCCAGTGGCAAGTATCCAAGAGAATATTGATGTTAAGTTCTGGGTGTAGTGATCTGAAGAAGATTGAGACACTCGGTTCTTATCTATCAATGGGAACCTAGGGGAGAAACATGGTGCAAGTAGTACCTTACTCAGTCCCTGTCTCTAGATGAAAGAGAAAATTTAAGTACTATGTGATATACCCTCAGGGCTCAGACATAGCTGTCCAATCATTAACTCAGACAGAATAAAAGGAAAACCTATATATCCCTTGTAAGAACGATCATACACGTTACATAGGAAATATCTTTAAAAATCCTGAAGTCTCAAGAAGAACTAAGCCATTATTAGTCATATTTATACAGAAGCAATATTAGGTATTGTAAAATCATGTTGGTTCAAATTATGACCCCCACGGGTTGGGGGGCACAACAGAGGGTCAAAGTTTTACATGAGAATGGATAGGAATCATCTTGAAAAAAAACTTCAGCTCAAGAACAGCAAAGCCATGATTAGTCATATTATTATAGAAGCATCCTAAAGTAGTGTAGATTTAATTTTGTTCAAATTTAGGATGGGTAGGATGGGGTCAAAATGAGCGATCAGAGTTTTACATAGGAATACATAGGGAAAAAACTTTAAAATCCATCTGCTCAAGAACAGCAAAGCAATGATTAGTAATATTGATATGGAGCATCCTGAGGTAGTGTAAATTCAAGTTTGCACCCCCCCCCCCCCTAAACTTGAAATGACGTACTCGAGTGAAAGTCTTGGATGTAATAGCATCCATAACGTAGTTATGGGGCATAATTTTACTTAAAAGAAATACATACACTAAAATTATCTTACATCTTTGAAAAAATACTGTTTAAGGTGCATATTGTGTTATTTGCTTGTTCATGTTCGTCATTATACATATAAAGCATCCGTCTCATATATAATATAGAGGCAGAGACACGTACATGTATACAGTATTTATTAGCTGAATAAATTCCAACAGGTCACCAAGCATTAGCAATGTTCGACAAAATAATATACACATGTATACATAAAAGAAATGTAAAATGTTAACAAGGTCATGCCCACCACTACTTATAGCCATACCTAAATTTAGAAATCACTCTTCATGCTTCGTGTGTATTTAATGTCCTTCTAGAAAGCATCATGATTGAGTTTCTGCAACACTCTCTTTCATTGTTAGATTTCTGGGGTAAAACAAATATATATATATACATATTTTCATTATATTAGCAAAGATATTCCACTCCTCTTCTAAAATCGTGGTACTTTTCATGAAAAAATGACCTAAAACTGATTTTTTTAAATGGTGAAATTTGAGGTCTGACAAAGAGTAGGTGGTGCTTCGTAGGACCCCATACCTTCAGATATCAACAGGATATTTTGTATTTGGAATTTTTGTATGTTATTTATGCAAAATGTCTTTGATT